TGAGTCTGTAGGGTAAAGCAGTGGCCTAGGAAGGGAAAGCACACAGAACAAAGGACAGTAAGAGTTGAGACATACAGATAACTCCATTGTATTTCATCCTACATGTTTTCTTTAGCATCTGCTGTCAAAGACAAAATGTGACTTCGTTCATAATAAAGTACAAATTATACAATTGCAAAAAAAAAGAGATTTGGTTTCCTTCAAAATTATCTACATGTTGATGACAAAAAGACAGGTCAAAAAAGAAAAAAAATCTGACCATGTGAATTCTGTTCACTTGTCATCTGAATAGTCAATCAGTTTATATACCATCCAAAACATGACAACTGATGAACAATTTTTGTCACTTCGTACTGCTTGAGGCTTTCAGCAATATGGGCCAACTAAACTTTCCAACTGTGATGTAAAAATATATGCCCTAGTAGGTGCAAAGACATTTCACCTCTTGAATTTAGAAATTTACCCTGGAAGTCAGCCACCAGGTCTTTCTTCATACTGTAATAAACCATATGACTTTATGAACAGACTTGTTGCACCTACTTCAAAAAGAAACCCAAGTGTCACATTTAACAATTGATTCACTAGTTACACAAATTTGCTGAACAACAGTACAGAAACCATTTGCAAGAACAAAGCCGATTCTTTTTTTTTAAAAAGTTGCAAGTTTGCAATAGAAAAATATATAGTACAATCTTTGGATTTAAGAAAGAGATAGCATAGGCCTTCTGTATGGTAAAGAAAAACAAAATAATAATGATACTGGCAACATTACATCATATAATAAGATTCATGGTGAGGTCTATAATCCTAGCACTTGGGAAGCTGAGACAGGAGGATCACCACAAATTTGAGGCCAGCCTGGGCTACACAGTGACTTCAAGGCCAGCCGGAATTATATATCAAGACTCAAAGAACTTGGTCCTATTCCTTCCATGCCTCCACAAAAAACAAAAAACAAACAAAAAAACAGGCAAAGCTAAGCACATGTTCTGTCAGTGTAAGCAAGATTTATGTAGGGAACATGCTACCATTATTTCTGAAGATTGTTTAAGGTGTGATAATTGAAGCAAAGCTTATTTCTGTGGTAGAGATTTGTTTATATTTTAATTGTAGTTCACATAGGAACTTATTTCTGCTGTTACTTGTTGGAACTTGTAAAAAGGTAAACAGTTGATGTTGAAAATGTTGATTTTTATTCTACATGCTCACTGCATATTAAAAATTTAAGATTTTATTGATATTTTAATTTTATGTTAAGTACACATTGTTTAATATAAAAACCTCATAAAATTAAAATTAATAATTCATAAATAGAAATATTCCTAAAAAATAAACATGACATTACATGCCTTTTCTAAAAATTTGTCGGAGCTGGGGATTTAGCTCAGTAGCATAAGCACCTGCCTTGCAAGTTGCAGTTGTGAGTTCGATCCCTGGTACCGAAAAAGACGAAAAAAAAACAATAAAAATTTGTCATGATGCCCCCAAAGCCATGAAAATAAATAAAATAATTGATGGGCAAGGCCTTCAGTTGCTTAGTGTGCCTTTCATTACAGATTACGTACAACAAATCCATGGGTTCCACATCTACAGATTCAATCAACTATAGTTTAAAAGTATTCTTGAAAATATTGTGTCAGAACTGAACATATACAGAATTGCTCATCAATATTCCCTAAACAATAAAGTATAACAAGCATTTACATATTTAGGTTATATTAGAAATTATAAGTAATATAGAGATGTTTTAAAGTATACTAGCGAATGTGCATACGTTATATGTAAATGCTGTATCATTTTGTAGAAGACTGGAACATTGTGGAACATGTGGACAATTCTGGAACCAATCCTCCAATGATACTGGTGAATAACCATATTCAATACTTATTAAAATGATGAATACTTTTTATGTAACACAAGGAAACCTTGTATTTTATATTTGTTTACATAATTTTAGTTTTACATCTGTTTTGTTAGGTAGTATCTCTCAGTTTTGTTGTACTTCTGATCTCCAGAAATGTAAGATAATACATTTGGGATTTTGTTGTTCCTGTTGTTTTTGAGACAGTATCTCACTACGAAGTTCAGGCTGGCCTTCAACTCACTTTGTAGCCCAATCTGACCTATAACTCGCAGCAATCTTCCTGCTTCAGCCTCCTGAGTGTTGGGATTAAAGGAATGCATCACCATGCTCAGTTATTTGTGCTGATTTAAATCACTAATTTTGTGTAAATTTGTTACATTAGCAATAACAAACTAGTCTACTGCCTATCCATCCATTCATTCAGCTCAGTATAGCCATTGACTTACTATTCCCATTGCAACAAATATACCTCTGCCTGAAACACTTCTCTCACCCATCTGCCTAGATCTTATCCTTTTTCAAGCATAGTTTAAACTATCACTTTCCCTTGGAAGCTTTACCTACACTGGACTCCTCCACTATCTAGTACCAAACAACATGTCTCCTTTTCAACACTCTTAACACTTGTGTTGCCATCCTTAATAATCTTATTCTTGTTTGTATCATTTTACCCCTTACTAAATAATTGGGTAGTACTTTGTTATCCTTTGTTATCTTCTATATTTCTTCAACAATATAGTAAGCTTATAGAAGATGAGACCTATTCTTCTGTATGTCTACATATACATTGTATTTTCCCTCTTGTGATAATCAGCTTTTCAATGCTGGCACAAAATTCCTGACACACACAACTTAAAGAAGGAAGAGTTTATTTTGGCTTGTGGTTTCAAAGGTTTTGTGCATGGTTGGCTGACTCTAAAGCAGAAATATCATGGTAGAAGGGCATGGTAGAGTAAAGCTGCTCACTTCGTAGGAGCTGTGAAGCAGAGATGGTTTGACTGAAAGGCCAAAGAGGAAGTTCTCCAGTTACAGCCAGAAGTGTGTTTTACTTATCCAAGTGTCTCTCAAACCAATGAAGCTGAGCTGGGAATCTAGCTTAGTTGCGTAAGCACCTGTTTGGCAAGTGCAAGGTCATGAGTTCTATCCCTGGTACAAAAAAAAAAGCCAATGAAGCTGAAAATAAAGATTAGCCATCACACATCTAAGTGCTATAATACACACTGCTTCAACTCCCCCAAAAAACACTGAGGAAAAAAAAGAGCATCAAATAAAAGCTCAGTGAAAACAAAATAGACCAGTGACCTTTGCAATAAATTATTTCTCAAGAACCAAAGAAAAATAATCTGAAAATATTTTATTTTAATGCATTTCATTATGCTATTTACCAACCTTCAATTCAATTAACTTACTCCTTGGGGAAGAAACCTTAGTAGCATTTTTTTCTAACCAGAATTATCTGGTTTTTATATTGATGGTCTTTCACGTTGACTACCATGCATAACATCCAACATAGCCAAGACATATTTAGCCCCTTGACAAATATTATTTGGATGCCTACTATGTGGTAGTAATGTTTAGAAAATGATAAAACATATGTATAAATCAAAGCTTAATTTCTGGACAGGGAAGACATAAAAAATAAGGGATATATCAAGCAAAACTACAAAGGAAAATGAAGTAATGTAATAGTAAACAGATTAATGTATTGACTTTCTCTGGAGTAGAAAATCTGCATTTAAATAGAGAAATGGGAGAAAATAGGAAACAGTGGTTAAAAACAAGGATTCTTGTGTTACATGAAGCTAAATTTAAATTCAGTTCTATCACCTACTGTGTACCCTTGGACGAATTATTTAACTTACCTTAGCCAAGCTGACTCATTTATAAAATGAGAATAATAGATGCTCTCTCTGTTCTAAAGTTATTTTGAGAATCATAAAAAATAATTCATGAAAATATTTAACATGGTACCAGACACAGAGCAAGTAATTAATCCACAGCTGTTATTGTGGTGGTATGCTTAAAAAATCAATAACATTTCTTAATAACAATATCAAAATAATATCTCCTACACAATGATATGAAAAAATACATTCATTCACTCTACAAGTGCAAATAGAATGTTTCACCCAGACTCCTCTTTTGGGAATGAGACATCATCTCCCCCACAGTTTCCTGGAGTTTGGCTGCTGAAGACACATGATAGAATCACACTTTGGAAATTGCCCTTTGCTGAATAGCTCAACTACAATTATCCTCCCTTCTGATAGATGCTGCAGTGCAAAAGCCAAGCTTCGTGTTTCCATTTGGAACTAAACATTCTAGGCTCACCCTAGCTCCAGAACTTCCTGTGAGGTGCACAGAAACCTTTGTGGAATCTTCTATTTCCCTTCTTGGCTCATAGAAATGATTTGCTAGACCAATCCTGAGTAAACTTGCTCACCAAACTCCATTTCAGAGTGTGCTTCCCCTTGAAAACTTGAATTAAATCAAGCAGCCACTATGTTGACAAGTTGCTAAGTTGCTGTTGAGCAAAACTGGCAAACTTCTGTAAAAGGCCACCTAGGATGTGTTCTAGGTTTTGTTGGGCCATGTATTCTCTGCCACATCTACACAACCTTCTGATTTTCATGGGAAAGCAGCCATAGGCAGCACATAAATGATTGAGTGTGACTGTTTCCAACAAAAATTTACTTTATGGACATTGAATTTTAATTTCATACAATTTTCACACGTCACAAAATATTGTTTTTTCATAGCCCATTATCACCATGTTTGCTCTCTGTCTTAATTTCCTCTTTCTATACAGATTTACTTCAAAAAATTCTGAAACATGATATTTCATATCTGTATATTTCAGAATGATCTGAAGACAAAAGCAACCTTTTTAAAAATGCAGCTATTCTATAACAAATGCAGCTACTTTAATAACAAATACAGAGGGGTCATATTTCCTCTATTGTTTTATAAACATTAATGGTTTTTGAAGTTTGTTTGAAATGGTATCAAAACAAGTTCTCATTTAAACTGTAAGCATCTTATCCTTCTTTGCCTTCATATTTCAGGTACATTTATTGTTGTTGATAATAAATTACGTACTTGTCCAATTTTGAAAGCCATTTAAAAATAGAAAAGGCATTTTTTAAAAATTTTTATTTAAAGAGAAAATAAAAAACCATAACAGTGAAAGGGCACAAGTAATACAGAATTCCAAGAAAAAAATATACAGTAATAAATCACTAGTTAATAGATTACATATTGTCACCTAAAAATAGTTGTTCAAATTACAGAATTAAAGCATACAAAATGGACATTCAAACAGTGAGACTGCAAATAGTTCTCTTCAGTGATCCAACAAAAACTTAGTAATACAGTTTTCTATCTTACACACTTAAATATACATGCAGTTATATCCTTTAGATCACTTTCTTTTCCTCTCTTTTTTAAAATAACAATTACACATTTTGGATTTTATTACTCCCACAGTTCTTATTACTTTTTTTTGAAGAGAAAAAAACCAAATGTGACAAAGCAAAACAGTCAGTTAGAACAGAAGGATGAACATAGTACATGATGTAAAAACAGAATACCAGGTGGTCAACAATGGTTACCATTATGCATCTTGCTATCTTAAAAAGACTTGCCTATATCATCAGGTATAATAGAATTGAACAAAACAGTACAGAACAAAACCAATAAAACCTAAACATTGGAGACTTACAGGACTTCAAAAGAAGATAATAGTCAAACCATAATGGGCATCATAGTAAATCTTATTGCCTTTAAAGTGGTTGCCTATACCCTCAAAATTGATACTATCAAACAAAACAGAATAGAGTAAAATCAATGAAAATAAGATGGGGAGAACAATATAGGGGTTCAAATCAGGTTAATAGGGAAACAAAAAAGTTACTATAATATATCCCGCTATTTTTAAATTTATTTTTCCCTTAATTAAAAAAATAAGAAAAAATAAATTAAATTTTTAAAAAAAGGAAAAAAAAGGGAGAGATTGAGATAAAAGAGGACATAACAATAGAACAACACAAGTCAGAACAGAACAATTTAAGCATCATAGTGTTTCACCACCAGATAACCTGACATAATAGTAGTTACCCATAGTGTCTCTTTCCTTGAAATATTTGAGTATAACTTCATATACTGTAGCATCAAACATATCAAGACAGTGTGAAACCATTCAAGAAAATGAAAATATTACAGGGTATTTAGAACCAGCTAATAGAAAACGAACAAAGGTTTCTATATTATCTCTGCCTATAAAAAATTTTGTTTATACTATCACATATATTAAAATATAAGATACAACATATTAAAACCAATGGAAACAGATGAACAACAGCTTGATGGGACTTCAAAACAAGATGATATTAAATCAGCACTAGCTATTATGATGTCTTGTTTTCTTCAAAATAGCTATTAGTACTATCACAGACAATAAAATCAATCAATCCAGATTAAAAATATTCCAATTAGGGGCTGGGGATTTAGCTCAGTGGCATAAGCACTTGCCTTGCAAGCGGGCAGTCGTGAGTTCAATCCCCGGTACCGATAAAAATGAAAAAGACAAAAAAAAATTCCAATTAATGAGTGAAAACATTATATGGCTTCAAACCATTATAACTGGGAATCATGATTACCACATACTTTTATGTATTCTTATCATTTCTTACACTAGGGAAACTATTAGGTATTTATACATATGAGTTTGATTTATTTCACTTATGAGTATGGTCTCAAGCTGCATCCATTTATTTATAAATATCTCAATATGATCATCATTTATATCTGAGTACTACTCCTTTGTATAAAAATACCACAATTTTTTATCCATTCCTCAGTTGACAGACACTTAGGTTGTTTCCAAGATCTGGCTATTCCAAGTTGAACTGCTATAAACATGGGAGCACAGATATCACTGTGGTATGATGCTTTCAGTTCTTCTGGGAATATGCCTAGAAGTGGAATAGCTGGGTCAAATGGGGCTCCCAGTCCCAGTTTTCTGAGAAATGTCCAGACTGACCTCCACAATGGTTGCACCAGTCTACACACTCCCACAACAGTTGATACAGCATTAATATTTACAAAGTATATCAAAGTGATCTAGTAATACTGAATAGAGAAAAGATATACAAATATATACTTTAAAGTGTTTGAACTTATTTTTCCACCCAAGTATAGACATCTTCTGCAGTCCATTTCCTTCAATAAGAAGCAATTCAGATTATTTTTGAAATATATATTTCTACACTGAAATATTTGGGCTTTTAAATTTGTCATAGTGTTTGTTTTTATTTTGCTTGACTTTTCTCCCAAATTTTTATATTCCTTTCTCTTTTTTGACCATTTTTATTTATACTTTATTGGTGTACAAATTTCTCCTTGAAATCATTCTTATGTATTCTTTTCTCATATTCCTTCATCATGGGTAATATTGAGATTTCTTCTTCATTCTCATCTGACTTCCAGCCAACCTTTGCTTCTCTAGCTTGTGACTTCCTTTCACAAGCCCCTCCTGCACATTCTCAGAATAAATGAATCGAGTGTTACTTTGGATTTGAGTAATTGACAGGAATGGAAGTATGGATCCATGAACTCTCTTTATGGATTCACATTGCTATACTGAGAAATATGGAGACTAGGAGTGCTGATCTCAGTGGACACTAACTGTAAGAGGCGGCTGATGACTATATCTCTGGCTTTTGAAGTCTCTAGGTCCTTCTCTCTGGATACATGAAGACTAATTTGGTCCACATTTGTCATGATGAGTTCAGATGTCAGGATCTGGGTAGGAGAACTGTCGTGAAACATATTGTCCATAATATACTGCTTATATAACTCCACCACCTTCTGCTCCAGGTACTCGTTCAGCACCGCATTTGAAACAGGATTCTGCATTTGTAGGCTGCTTTTCTCTTTGATACTAGTTATTCTCCAGTAGGATGAGTGCCGTTGGACAGGTTTTTGGGAGAAGTCACTGGGCTGAGTAGAAAGGGAATCCTCCATGGGCAAAGAGATCTCAGATGATTTCAGCAAAGGACCATATTCAAAGCTGCTCTGGGAGAGAAAATCTGTTGTCACTGAGTTAATGGCCATCACCTGGCCCCCTGCAATTTGTAAGTCATTATAATTCTTGCAAATACTTTTGCAAGAAGGTGGAACTAAATAGGTTTCTTTGCTAGGGTCCTTGCATATTTCAACTGCAGCCAAATTGGGTCTTTCAAACACAGGATTGGGGTTTGTCAGCAACACTGTGTCTCTCTTACTTATGCTACGTTGGCTCTCTCTGGAATGCACTGGAGAAATGAACTTGCCAGAGGATTTGCAGCTCACATAAAGACTTCTGACTTGGGTTTCGTCCACAGAGGAATAGGAAAGAGCAGTGACAGAACTTGTCTCCTCTTTCTTTTCTTCAGTCACCTGTTCACTATAAGTTGCACAATTCCAGTGAATGTCATTCCAGTAGGCAAGTCCACTGAGATACCCTTCAGACAGCATCCTGGAAAGAGAATTGATGAGTAACTTTGGAGAAAAAGAAGGCTGAAATTTTTAAATTTAAAATTTTAGCAGTTGACACACCAAAAAAAGAAAGCATGATGAATGAATTCACTTCGTTCACTCACCAAGCCACTACTAATCCTGCTGCGTTCCACCATTAAAGCATGTCTAGGAGATACAAAGATGAAAAGATACGGTTCCTTTTTTTCAGGAAGTTTCCCACTATGGGAAAAAATAAGCTGGATAGAATAATTTCAATTTTACATCATTTAGAACTATAATCATTATAGGCTTAAAGGAAATAGAGAGGAAAGGACCTGGGGCAGAGTGGGAAAAGTCACAGGATATGTACAGGAAATGCAGTGTTTCCACTAAATGGTGAAAGGGTAAGTAGGCGGTTAAGCCCTGGCCCAGTTATAAGAGAACAGAGTGACGTGATCTACTGACACACACCAAGAAACTGAGCATGAGTACAAGGAGCTGAGGAAGCAAATACTCTGGAACTGGATTGTGAAGGGCCTTGGGAATTAGACAAAGAGATTTCTGTTCTGTCCCATACAAAATGAAGAGTGATTGAGAAGCTGTAGATTGAAGAGCAACATGGCTAGTGGGCTATGAGAAGAATAATGAAGAAATCTGGAGCAAATTCTGCTGGAAACAGGAGCTATATCTTACTCATCTTTGCATCTCTTGGAGGCTAATTATTTTTATTTAGGAGAGACTCCATATATATTTTTCATTTGAATGAAACAACAGTGGCATGGTAAAAAATTAACTCATGCTCAATACATCATGCAGGACTACAGAATTCACCTTCACTTTGCAGTGGAGGATGAATTATTTTTCTATCCTCACTTCTCAGAGTACATTCTGAAAATGTCTGTGCACTCGATCAATATGTTTACCTCTACCCTACTTAGCACAGAGCTTTCCTGACAGTGGGCTTTCCTTACACCTGCCTCCCATCCCCACCCTCAACAGTTGTCACTGAAGTCTAAAGAGTCTAGAATAGTTCAGAAACTAGCAGCTGCATTTTCTAAAAAGGGAAGGCACTGGCACTCCTGGCACTCGAGCAACAGGCCACAGTGACGAAAACTGTTCCTCTTTGGCCTTGAGGGTTAAGTTTCTAAAACAGACTTCTCAACTTGACCTTAAAACTGGAAAGTCAAATTAGTAAAGAAGGATCATTTTTTAAAATCATACGTAAAGGTTCGTTTTAAAAATTTCAGCCCCTCATTCACGTAGTTATTCTTTTCAAAGTCAATAAAATAGGTTCCTCTTTTTTGTTTCATTTTGTTTTGTTTTGAGATAGGGTTTCTTTCTCATCTGGGACTTGCAGGCCTCCTGTCTCAGCCTCCTAAGTGAATGTTTCTTTTTTGTAATTGCATAAGAATAATGTTGTAAAGGTTTTTTTTCTTTTTTAGAGGTATATTCTGCAAATTAATCAATTATTTAAATGTTTACTATATTATATATTGTAAATACAGTTATGTGCAATGAAGATGCAAAGCTAAAGGTCGCCAAAAGATCTGTGAATAATTATAGTATTGTATGCTAAACACATTTACAAGATAAAGAAAACATTTTCCTTTCCAAACCAGGAGTGGTGGTACATGCATGTAACTCCAGTACTTGAGGGGCTGAGGCAAAAAGATCATCTCTAGTTCAAGGCCAGCTTGAACTATCTAACAAGATCGTGTCTCAAAAAACCAAACACAAAAATAACAAAAAGAAAAGCTTGTCTTCCCCTAAAGAAAAAGATACTTTGTCAGTACATTCCACCTGCAACAAGCCCAACAACTGGTTACATATGTGGGAACATAAGAGAGATTAGCATAAAGATCTAATAGTGATGCACTTACTTCCTCATCCTAATCCCCACTAGGCTTCCAAGTAAGCTTTGCAAACACTTAGCAGAGATGAAAGTTTGAGGAAAATGTCTTTTGAGATATCTTAGCTTAAAATTTGAAACTTGATAATTCATAAGTATGAAGGACTCAGAACATAGAATTTATGCATGAATAACTATCATTCAGAAATCAACTAATAACAAGTGCTAATGACTCTATGTGGAAAATGGAACACTCATCCACTGTGGATGAGAGTACAATTAGTACAACTAGTATGGAGAATCTTCAAAAAACTAAAACTCCAGATTCCATTTGATCCAGCTATTCCCCTTCTTGGTATCTTCCTGAAAGAATTGAAAGCATCATACCACAGAGATGGATGCACACCTATGTTTATAGCAGCATAATTTGTAATAGCCAAAACTTGGAAACGTCCCAGATGCCCATCAATAGATAAAGAAAACGTGGTACTATTGTGTCATAAAAATACTACTCTGCCATAAAAAAAGGTAAACTTGAGGTACAAGGATGTACCTTGAGACCATATTTTAAGTGAAATAAATCAGACACATATGTTTAAATATTACATTATTTCGCTGCAATGAGAAACCAAAAGTAAAAATAAGGACCAAGATGAATGATAGATATCAGGAAGTAGGAAGAAAATGTCCAAATGGGTAGGGAAACTAGGGAGGGGAAAGGGGGAATGGAAGAAAGGGAAAAGGAAATGAAAGACAATGGAAGGAAAAAAGTGGTAACAAAGCTTTTGTAAATGAGGAAGGCAGAGGAGTTGAAGGATGGGGAGGAGAATGGGAAAAAGTCAATATATACTACGTACAGTTATAAATTTCCTACGATGATAAAGTTTTAAAAAGCCCCCAAATACATATCAACAAGTTTTCCAGTATATGATGATATGACTCTAGAAAATGACCTTCATTCACAGACACACAAATCGCTGTACATTTTCACATCAAACAAAGTAGCATCAGGATGATATACATCCCTACTCAATAAAAAAATTGTAGAGTATTAGAAAAAATAGACTCGAGGATATTGAAACTCCATGGAAGGAAACAGTATAGCTCCGGAGAGAACTGGAGAGTCAAGAGCACATGAAGCCTGTGTCCTATCACCCACATAGAATCCGAGGAAGCAGGAAGCCTCGCACAGTTCTCATGCCCAGCATGGTGCGGCAAGGGGGCAGAAAGACAGACAGCCATATGGGTTGCCTGGATGAACAGAGTTGAGGCTGCCTTATCATGTCTCATGACACACAAGCATGTGATTATGAGCCTCAACCCTGGAGAATACTTGGATGCAAGATGGAAAGACAGCAGACATCACTCCCATAGAGTGCTAACCAGGGGCAAGACGAATGACCTGGGTTTAAGCATGATGACAAAGCCAAAGACAACCCCGTCTACTACCCCATTTATATACATGAACAACCTGGAACTTAGATGCAAATCCAGTGAGAGAGCCCTGAAAGAAAACTTAAGATTTGTCTCTAAATAATAAAGCAAAGGAGCCTGAGTGCATGTCTCAGCACTCAGGAGGGTAAGCCATGATAATCACCATGAGTTCAAGACAGGCTGGGATACCTAGTGAGTTCAAGGACCACCTAAAATGCATAGCCCAACTGTGACTCAAATTAATTAATTAAATAATTAAAAAATAAGACAGAAATATAGCTGAAGGTCCTTAAAGTAGGGGATACCACCAGAGGAAAGAACTTCTAACCTGATAAGAAATAAATTAAATTTAAAAATATGTGTATTGGTGCTAAGATCCAAGAACTCACTCAACTGAGAGCCATCCACTTACTCGTCTCCTACAATTTAGCAAAAAGGGCCTGAACTTTCAAGGCAGTCTATCAAGAAAATTGTTCTAGGGAATCTGACTGTTGTAGTCAGAGAAAAAGAGAAATCAACATCAGAGTTCCCCAACACAACTGGGAAATCACCCTTTTCTCGAAGCTCACAAACAGTAGACCCTAGTGAACTTTGTGGATTCCCACACTTAAATAAGACTAGAATTTTGAAACATCAGTGGGAATATCTGATGTGAAAGGGACAAAAATAGCCACTTTGAGGAAAAATCTGGAGGGAGATGTATCTGCTGCCAGTATTCTCAAAGTGTTAAAATATAATATTACATTCTTGAATTGAAAACGAAAGGCTGTTTTTAAAAAGTATCCTGAAGTTCTTGGAAATTGAAAATGATCATTTTAAAATTCAATTCAATGATTAGAAAGTAAAATGGAGACAACACTTTATCTTGAAAGTAAAACAAAAGTACAAGAGAAACACTAACAACAAAAATAAAAAATATCATATGGAGATCCAGAGTAGGACATTAATTATCTGAATAACAAAGAGTCAGAAAGTGAGAACAGAGAAAATACGGAAGGAATTCAAATTAAGAACTCAAGAATGTTCCTCAGAACTGAAGGACATGAGTTCCCAAAATACTGACTAAAAACTTCCTCTCATTAATGTGAAACGATAGAAAATTTGGGACGCAAAAAAGATCCTGCAAGTTTCTAGAAGGGAAAAACATCAAGTACAAAAAAAGACTAAGAACCAGAATCTTTAGACTTCTTAACAACAACATGAGAGGCAACAAGATAAATGAAGTAATGTCTAAAAGTGCTGAGTGAAAATTTATTTCAACCTAGAATTTTATAACCAAAAGTTGTGCAGAAACAAATATATGATTTACTCCACGGCTCACTTGTAAGTAATTGTGACAACATATGAAGCACTGAAACTTGAACTAACCAAATATATAACCACAGTGTGATCATGAAGTCTGGAAATAAATATCATTTTATGTGTTTATTAATGTAATGCTAATAAAAATTAGTATTACATTAGCTATTTCCCTGCATGTCCAGACCAGATAGATGGACACTCCCTATAATTAGAGAAATGTCATAAGGTTTATACAGTTGGTGCAAACCAAGGGAGGAAAGAGAACTGAATCCTCCTCTTCATAGTATCAAGTCAATAAATAATGCCCCAAATGAAAAAACAAATTGCAACACAAACATACTATTTAAAGAAATGGAGGTAAATACAGTACTAAGCAACAAGATAAACAAGATACTGGTAGTTGCTGCTGGAGAAGTTTCAGGGACTGCTGTTTTCCATGACAAATCTTTTGGAATTGTGGGACCCTATTATGTATGTGCACACCTTTGTTTCAAGTTTTTTTTTTTTTTTTTTTTTTTGCTTTTTCATTTTTATCAGTACCAGGGATCGAACTCACGACTGCCTGCTTCCAAGGCAGGCGCTTATGCCGCTGAGCTAAAGCCCCAGCCCCCGTTTCAAGTTTTTAAAGAAAATTTAAAAGTAAAGAAGAATATTTGAGAATAAGGGAAAAAGAAAAGAGAGTAGTACTTGGTGTCCAGCTGACTTAAGGCCGAAAAGAGAAAGAAGACTATGAAAAGTGAACCTTTATTAGGCTCTGCAGAACAGGAAGGATACAATTAGGTAGTGAGTAAGGGTGAAAGCATCGTGGACAGAAGGGAGAAGGGAGACACGAGAAAACAGTACTATGTTGTCACACTCACGTGGGGTAGTGGTGGACACCAGTCTGAGTGGGAGGGAGGTATTAGCTTTCAGACTCACTCTCATCTAAGAACTTCATTCAGATATGCTCCAGCTCTCCCCCATTTATCTCTTTTTGCATTAGTCCACTGGCCGTGATGGCGTCTTCTTTCATTATATATGTATAACATGAGAATGACCTTTCACTGCATCACAATAACCAAGGAAGAAAGTCTGGGATTTTGTGATGAGTGGTAGGCTTTCCTCCTTATTTATCATTTATGGAGATGTTTGTTGGTATCTTAATTCTGATGGAATAAGAATCCTAACATTTTGAGGTGTGGGGCTGAAGGCAGACCAGTAAATTGGGGGATCCAGTAATAGGAATCAACTAAACGCATCTTAGTGTTCAAGGACAGAAACATTAAGGTCAGGGAAGTAAATTGGGGCATGTAAGCCTGAAGATATTTAATTTACCTTACAAGCAATGTAAGTTGAGCACTGAAATCCAAAAATTCAAAATTCAAAATGTTCCAAAATGTGAAACTTCTTAAGGGCCAAAACATCATCACAAGTGGAACATTGCACTCTGCATCTCATATGATGGGATACTCAAAACTCAGATGTACTAAAATATTATATAAAATTATTTTCAAACTATATGTACACAGATTGTATAAAAAATAAATTTTGTGTTTAGACTTGGGTCCTAACCCCAATACTCAAAATCTGAAACACTTCTAATCTCAACTATTCCAGATAAAGGATGGTCACCATGTAGAAAACTCTGGCAGCTAACCACGAAGCTGATTCATGGTATGATGTAAAGTGCAAGATGAATTTCAACAGAGTGAGAGTGGAATTAACCATGAAAGTTAAGAGTGGACATGGTGGTGCACATCTGTGATCCCAGCTCCTTGGGAGGCTAAGGTACGGGGATCACATGTTCAAGACCAGCCTGGGTAACTTAGGAAGAGCCTGTTTCTAAATAAAAATTGAAAATGATTGGGGATGTAGCTCAGTGGTCATGTGCAAGGCTCTAGGTTCAATCCCCTGTATCACAATTTTTTTAAAATGCAAGTTAGCAAGCTGCTGGCACCGTAACCAAGAGGGAGAGAGCAGAAAAGAAAAAGAAGGGATCAATATGAGAGACAAAGATTCCAACATATGGAAATGAAGAAGATAGAGGAACCAAAAATAACTCTAAGTCTGAATATGTCGAGAAGTGTCAGCAACACTGACAGAAATATGGAGAATAGGAGGAGGAGCTGAGCAGTTTAGCTTAGTTCCTCTTGAGCCTGACATGAGGTAGACAATCTAAGTCCTAGAGTCTAATTGTCTATTAGAGTTTCGAGCAGGGATCTCTTTTAAAAAGTTACTTAAAGTCAACAATGAAACAATCTTCTGAGTGTAGGAAGTGGGAATTTATATTAGGAATTTGATCAGCGTTTGGATGTTTGCAATAACTCCTGTGAGGAGCTCACCTCAAACAATACAAAGAGAAAAGCCAGAAGCAAGAGCTGCAGGTGCAATACTTCATAGCTGTGTAAAGACTTCAAGAGCTTCAAATAATGTGTCCAGTGTAGTGGTGCACTCCTGTAATCTCGGCACTCCAGGACATTAAGGCAAGAAGTTAGAAAGTTCGAGCCTAACCCAAACAATGTAGCAATTTAGCAAGAGCCTGTCTCAAAATTATAAAAGTATTTTGTTTGGTTTTCTGAGGAAGGGTGTCATTTTGTGGTGCATGCGAGCTTTGAATTCACAATGTAGCTCAGGCTGGCCCTGAACTCATAATGATGCTCCTGGCTAAGTCTGCGGAGTGGTGAGATTACAGACATGTGCCACCATGCCCAGTTTAAAAAATAATTTTTTAAAGGCTGATGATGTAGCTCCATGTGAAGGCTCAGAAATAATGCCCATACCAAAAAGGAAAAAAAAAAAAAAGGGAGAAAGCCATATTCATACTGCTTAACTTCTCAGTTTCCATTTTCCATATGTAAACTTAGAATGTGAGGTTAAATTATCTTTAAGCACACACCCTCAGACTTTTACACTGCGTGAATTTATGAATTAATTATGTGACCATTACTCAGAATCTGATGTTTCTGAAAATTAGCAGTAGAGGGCAGCAGAAAACGTGCTAAGGAGGCTTTTGAAAGCTCTAAGGCTGTGCAAAGCCTAATACTGAACTACATAAAACTTATTAACAAAAAACTAAACATAGATTAACACATTTAACTTTCATATTAATCTTTTAATGCACCACTAGAATAAAAACAGTGTTGTTCATGTCAACATCCTAAAAGTTAAAATGGAGAAATAAAAAAATTACTTGGGCTTATTTTGATTAATTGTTGGCATTTTTCTTAATAAGTTTTTATTATCTGTGAAATTTTGCAGGAGAATGTTGTTTCCACTTCTCCTTTTGTAAGTCCACTGGCTCTCTGATTTGTTTTTTGTCTCTCATCAGCTGCTCAGATACATCAGTAGAAGTAATTTCCTGATTTATACTTACAGGGACATCAAGTGTATACTGTAGTACTTGCGGAATATCTATGAAGTTTCAAAAAGACATCACAGGATCTCATCAAAGGTATGTATAAATTGTGTACTACCAATAAATATCAACACATCTTTTAGTCTTATTTTATTTGAAACACTAAAATTTAAACCAATGGGTTATTTCAAGTGCTCAAAGATATTTTATCACTTGAAGTTTTATTTCTTATCTTAGACAAATTATATATGAATAACTATATGCAGATATGTATATGTACATAAATGAGTACATATAGAGTCCTCACAAAAATATATGCCTCAGGAAAATAAAAATTTGTATAGATATTTTAATATTAAATTTGTTGAAATATCATGAGTTTAATACAAGGTATCTTTGAACTCTAGAAGTACAAAAGGTCTTCAATATGGTAGCCATTAAATTCCAAAGATTAGTACAGTGAACTGCTAAAGTAGATATATACTTTTTGGTAGGATATATATGTATATACACATATTTTTCCATGATTGCTTAAGTGCGAAAGAAAAAAAAAAAACACTGAAGGACATTTGCAGATGAGATAGTCTACGTAAATTTAGACTACATTAATCATTACTAGACAGGGGAATACCAAAATTAACCTTATGTGCAAATTCACAAATTAGAAATATGTGCTAAAGTGCAGCACTTTGTTAAATCATTTACTTGGTTTTCAGAAGAATCTTCAATATAAATTCTTCCTTTGAGACTAGCATTTTCACAAGTTCTCAGAAAACTGTTCTTATCATTTCTGGGCATAGGTGCACTTTTAATTTATAGCCAAACAACACAAGTGTGAGTCAAAAAGGAAACATAAAGATGAAGAAGTTTATAAGAGGGGACATTTGAAAAAAAAAAAAACTAAGGGATCTGAAAATAATTTCTATAAAGGCATAAATAGTAAATATATGAGATTTAACAAATCAATCAGACTCTGGTAGTTTAGTCATCATAGTAGGAAGGCAGATACAAGCATTATGTAAACAAATTATTATGGCTGTATTCCAATAAAACCTTATTTACAAAAACAGTGGATCAATTTGGTCCTTGGCTGTGGTTTGCCAACCTCTGACTTCAGTGAAAGGTAGATGCAAAAAACTACTTTTGGTATCATAGTAACAACTGTGCATTGCTAGTTTGCATATGTTGCCCTAATCTTTAAATAACACTATACATTAGGCATTCTCATAATCTAGATTTCCAAATGATACAACTGAATTTCAGGTATAGCAAATTCCTTTCCCAAGGTCACACAGTATTAACTTCTAGAAGCAAGATTCAAGTCCAAGAGTACAAATTGCAGAGTATATATTCTGTTCTTAGAACATACTGCTCTACTGCATAGTGAAGAGCAATTAATGTCACACAACCCTCATAATGAATAATTAGTTCTTCCAGGAAAAGAGCATCAACTCTAACTCAATTTAACAACAATCACATTTGCCAAGTAAGGAGAGGAACATGCACTGAATACAGAAAAGCTGCAAGAGGACAGTCAACACCTACCCTACGTGTCCCAATTGTGTATCAATGCACATATATCTTCGAGGCATGTAAATAGATTTTCCTCTATCTTTTCTATCTTCTTTATGACTGTTTTCCTCAACCATAGCCTACAATTCTATATCCTTAATTTTACAACCACTTTCCACATGGTAATGTAATATTACAGATGTTGTATTTGAATGCCAGCCACTCCCCGTCACCTCCAGGACAACATCCATACACGTTAGGTCTTCCTGATGCACAATCCCTGTCTGTCTTTCTAACGTCATCTCTGCCTGTTCCCCCCAAGAACCAGGTTCCCTACCATGCTAATTCCCTCTCAGTTTTCCCAAAGTCCACTCCTGTCCCAAGGAGTTGTACATTTTTCTTCCTTCTCTTCTGTGAGCCCTGGTTCCATATCCACCCTCTGGCCATCAGGTCTCATCTCAAATAATAACTGAGAGCCCTTAACCACACATTCAGGATTTTTATCCCTAAAATGCAAAAGCAGTACAGGTTTCTGTCTTCCTTGTCCCCTAGGTATTTATCAAGACTGCATGGAACTTTAATAAAACCCAGATACTACCACAAACAGTAAAATAAATCATTGGAAAAGACTTTGGAATGAAGAGGTAAGTAGCAACAGCAAAAGGAAAATCAGAAGATTGGTGGCCAGTGGGGAATGGAGCAATTGGGGCAGAACAGATTCTGTCTGCCTCCTGAAGAGTATATTGGAATGAGAGCAACTGAGACACCTGAAGAGGACTGAGATGGATGCAAAAGCAACATCCAGCAGCTGCCACTGGGCATCATGTAACGTAGCCGTATGGAATAAAAGACAGAAAAATGTTATCTGCTGTTTCATAGATATTGGGTCAGTCTAGGTGGGGTGCAATTTAGTTCTCTAATGTCTGTTTATACAGATATAAACTTATTTTAGAAACTTTACCTTGATATTTAAAAATGTCTGTTCTTTGGAGCTAAAAATAGCTAATCAGTTCATCACATACCTAGATCATATTGCTATTATTTCACACCTTACTGCTCTAAAATTCCTGTCACAAAACAGATAATTTGAATTATCTACTTTCTATCAAATACAATGATTCTTAGTCTATTTCTGAAAATCTAATTTGATGGCTAAAATAATACAACTGTAAATCAATATCATCTTTCCATTAACCTCACCAAGTAAATGAATAATTTTGTGTTTAGTTCTGCTTGGATTCTTATGTCCAAAGGTAACAGCTGCTTCTATGAGCTTAATCTGATGTGTGAAATTCCTTATTTTAGAAGCTGTAAAACTTTGTGCAGAAATACTATTAATTATAATTTTGCTTTAATTTGTATATTTTCTCCATATTCTTTCTTGCTATCTCATAAATTGAAAAAGAAAACCTTGTGATCATTTTTAAAATTACTTCAAATGTATCTGGAGACAAAATAGTTGAGTAAAAAATTAAGAAAACTAGCCACACTTGGTGCCTCATGTCTATAATATCACAACTCTGGAACACTGAGGCAGAAAAATTGGAAATTTGAGCCCAATCTCAGCAATTTAACAACACTTAATCTCAAAATTAAAAAAGGGAGGCCTAGGAATGTAACTGAGTTTGAAGGCCCTATGTTCATTCCCAGGACTAGAAAAAAAAAAGAAAGAAAAAAAAGTCATACTAGGATTGTACTGATGTTAAATTTTCTTACTGTTTCAATCATTAATTATTGTTAACTATGTCAATTATGCTTGTTACCTTAAATATTTATATAATTCTAGGCATAGCAATCAAGCTCAATGAAAGGTTTTTGATTGGATACTAGATATTAAAAAAACTCCAAAGCACATGATAGTTGGGGAAATTTGAATGTGGGTCACATGATAGGTAATAGCATTTACTGGTGCTAAATCTCCTTCATGTCACAATTGTGTTCTAAAGTCAGTAAAAGGCTGACTTTATTCTTAAAAGATACATATCCAACAATTCAGGTATGACATATGCCCTAAAATCAACAATATTCAGTGATTCAAGGAAAAAACACACAAAGAAAAAAAGAGAGAGAGGAAAAGGAAATGGAAAAATTATATAACTGATTAAACTTTGTGATGGAACTATGGTTCTTCATTGTACTGTTACCTTGAATTGTATATAAGTTGAAACTTTCATACCCATGATGAATGTGTGTGTGTATGTATATATATATATATATTTTTTTTACAAATATACCCTAATAAAATCTTTTAATTAAGAAAATGTTAGGTTCAGAATGGTGGTAAATGCTTGCAATCTTAGCACTTCAGAAGCTGAGGCATGATAACTGTGAGGTAAAAGCCAGCCTGGGCTACTTATCAAGATTTTACCTCCAAAAAATTTTTGAAAACAAAAAAATAATAAAACAGTAAACCTTTAAAAGTAAAAATTCAGGGAGAAGTAACTGTATTTAGTTAAGTAAAGAAACATTTACATTATAGCACATTTGTAAGAGCTTAAAGGAATAATACCTTATAAATCTAAAATAACCATAATGCATGTGGCTGGAAATGTTTCAGTGACTTGATACAAGTATTTCCAACATCATGTTGCTGTTGTATACTACTTTTGTAAGTTTCCCAATTTACTACTATAATACTGATATTTAACATAGACTTTGAATACTCTTCACTCCTACAAAAAGCTTCTCAAACTCAAAAACAATTGTCTCAAATGTACCTGTGCAAGAACTGTGCACACACCTGTAATCCCAGCACTCGAAAGGCTGAAGCAGGAGGACTGTTGGAAGTTCGAAGCCAGTCTGGGATAATCGTAGCTCAAGGCTAACCTGAACTACATAGCAAGAACTTGTCCCAAAAAAACAAAAAACAAAAAAGAAAGGAAAGAAGGAAGGAAGGAAGGAAGGGAGGGAGGGAGGGAGGGAGGAAGGGAAGGAAGGAAGGAAGGAAGGAAGGAAGGAAGGAAGGAAGGAAGGAAGGAAGGAAGGAAAGAAAGAATGAAAGAAAGAAAGAAAGAAAGAAAGAAAGAAAGAAAGAAAGAAAGAAAGAAAAGAAAAGAAAAGAAATGTGCTATATATATGTGAATATTGTGACTTGGGGCCGGGGATTTAGCTCAGCGGCATTAGCGGCATTGCAAGCGAGTGGTCATGAGTTCGATCCCGAGTATCAAAAAAAAAAAAAAAAAAAAGATCTAACTAAACCAGGTCTATTTTCAAACTCAAAGAGATTTGCACAAGAGAAATGTCTGAGAGAACTAGACTAGAGACAATTCAAACCAAAGTTCACATATACATATTCTATTTTGAATACCAAAAATCTGTCTCTCCCTAAATCACTTAGGTGACAATTTTGAAACAATGGTCACTGTAGATAACATTTACTTGAAAATATTCTGCCATGTAGAAAAGCACCATCATAAACTCAGTGAACCAAAAAACTGAGAGTAAAATTCAATGGGAATGCACAGTGACCATGTTTTTCTCTAAAACTTATCACCATAACTGAACTCAAGAGCTGTGTTGTCCCTACAAAATTCTGCTTAAGTTTTTAGGCCTTCTTTTAAAAACACAGAAGCTAAACTAGTGTAGTAATTAGGAAAAGAGGATTGACTAAGTTTTACAAAAAAGAATTTGATTTAACCAGTAACAGATTTTAGATTAACAAAGTATTTTAGAAACGCACAGAATGCGGACATGAAGTCAAGAAAAGGAAGCTTTTAGTTGCATTTATTGTCCGACTCCATTGATTGCTTGCTTCATCTCACATCTGATTTAGTAAGCTAGAAAAGCATTTCAGATGTTGCAAGATTCCACCTGAGTTCTGAAAATAAAAGGCTAAGAAAGTCTGAGATGAGAAATGAGAGGAAATGTAAACAGAATGGTAGGGCCCTTGGCCTCTTTTTTCTTACCTTCACTAAACAGTCTGTTCCTTTGTTTCTGCAATTGGCCAAATAGAGAACCAACTTAGGGGCACTCTGCAGAAATGTTAACAAGTCCTTCCGGGTGAGACCAAGAGACTGAGCTGGTCATTACATTACCATTCTCTTTATAACTGTTTCTATGGAAAGAGATGTTTGCACTTAAGTCTGATTTGTGCTAAAGAAGCAGTGGGAAGTCCCAGGAAATGAGGAGGTAATAACTGACAAACCCACATTGAGCTACAGAATGGTGTTTCTTCCCCTTTTTTGAAAACTGAAACCTATCTGTGAAACTGTCTCTTGTTAAAAAAATTGTTAATGCTACACATTATGTAAGAAACCTTATTGACATAATTATTCTTCCCATGAATTCTTTGGTGACCCTCTTCCTAAGAGACCCAGAGTTACATATGACTTCACTCATCGCTTATCTACTATTTTTAAAGTATTCTCACTTTTATAACTTTTAAAAATTTAAATAATGCATTTTATCTCCAATTACCAAAAGTCAAAGTTTTGTGCACAAAGTTATGGAGAACCAGGCACTCTTGTACACTATCAATGAGATTATAAACATATTTGGAGGACAATTTCCCAGTATCTGTCAAAATTTTAAATATTCACACTATTCAACTGTTAGAGTGAACTGTATTTATGTCCACTGATAGAAATGGATCTCTAAAATACATTGTTTAATAGGAATTCATGTTTTAAATTGTATTGGAGGGGTACCAGGAATTAAACTCAGGAACTCACACTCACCAGGCAAGCACTGTGCCACTAAGCTAAATCCTCAGGCCCTAAAATTGTATTTTTTTCATTTCTTTTTTTGTCTTTTTTCCTTTTTTTTATCGGTACCGGGGATCGAACTCACAACTGCCTGCTTGTAAGGCAGGTGCTTATACCGCTGAGCTAAATCCCCAGGCCCCTAAAATTGTATTTTTAAGATGCATATATTCACACTATTTAAAAGGATATTTCTTTTCTACATTGATGCAAAAAATTAAAAATAAACAAGTCTTTCTAGAACAAGACTATATTCTATCTTTTTGAAATTTCTATCATATGTTTTACTTTTTCATTGTACAACTAGTGTTTTTAAGCCCCGTTAAGCTTTTTTTAAATTTTATGATCCAAGCATATTATAATCCGTGTTTTTTCTAGGGGACATACAAGAATGTCAGCAAAGGGTCAGCTCTTCTTGCTCCCCAAAAGAGACTTTTTTTTTAATTAAAGTTTTCAAAATCATTTAGCTGACTTACTCTTAACTGCTTCAAGTTAACTAGCAGTAAAATTTTACCCACTGTCCTTTTCTGCCTAACTGATCAAAACTAATTTCTAAATTGTTAGTTGATGAACATTTCCATTAGTTAGTTATGATAGTTTTGTTCAGTGATCTAACTTAAAATCTAATATTTAAAAGTATAGTAACATTTTTCCTTGTTAGTGTTTCATGATTTTCTATACTACCTCAGAGAACTTTACTTAGATTTAGTGAAAAAATCAGGTTCCTCCACATGAGACATTTGAAACTACATTTGAAACTATTACAGTATTTTCAAATATGACTTGACCTGCCACCACAAGAAATACCAGACTCATCATCCCAAGGCCAAGTTCATTGTAGTGTAATCCTATAACATCAGGTTCCAAGGCTGGGTTTAGTGGTGCATGCCTATAATCCCCAGCACTCAGGAGACTGAGGCAAGAGGATCCCCATGAGTTTGAGGCCAGTCTGGGCTACAGTGAGTTCAAGGCCAGCCTGAACTGTATAATGAAAGCCTGTCTCAAAGACAGATAGCAGGTTCCAAGGATGCCTTCAAGCTGTGATGACCTATCAAAGGTTTATCTGAAATCAAAAGGCATACAGCATCTTCAGGGATAAACACTGTTTTGTTTTACAACCACAACCATGTGGATATTTTAGAGCAGTGACGGTTAATCTTTTAGAGACCTAGCACCCAAACTGGAATCCAAAACTCACTTATTTATTGCAAAATGTCAACACTGCAATTAATCCTGAGTACTGATGTTTTAGTTTAGAAAAAAATAACTCCTGAGGCAACTTGGCTCACATGCCAACAGAGAGGCACTCATGCAGTAGGATCACCACCGCTGCCCTAAAGTCAGTCTTACCTAACTCCAGAAACGCTGGTAAGTTCCACAAGAACTCCCTTGGATGTGCCAGGAACTTAGAATGTGTGGTGATGCCATCTCCTCTGGTTTGGCTTCAGTCACATGTATTTCTTTATTCAACTACAAAATGCAGAATTTGTTTATACTCATTCCTTACTTTGTCCCTTAAGTTATTCCTTTTATAAAAATCATCCTTTCCAGAAAAAAATTATAATCAAAAGTTGGCACTATATAAGGGTTGCTTACCACTTCTCCTGTCATAAAACCTAAACATATGAAATTGGCTTTAAACTGCTTTTTCTTTGCTGACTATAATAAAATAAAATTATATCCTTTTTAGGTAAAATCATATAATATTATTATATGATTTTCCATCAACCTCCTGGATGGTAGATAAAAATTATTGCCTTGATTTCAGTTGCTCTAAATGGATATTATTTCTATTATCCAATTACCTCTGTTGGTGTAAAAAATATCTTCCAATTTATTTTTCATTATGATGTTCACATTTAGCTGTTTCAATCTTTACCAAGTTTCTTCCACCTTAATCACTCTGTACTCATCTCTAAGTATTCTTATTAGCACTGTAAATTCCTCAGCAGTAGACCTTTCTGTCACCTCCTACTTGCCAATATCTAGTTTTGTTTTACAAAATTGATAAAATTCATTACTGCCTTTTCCTAAGTAAAGGAAGATGTATAAAAATGTGTTATGTATATTTATGCACATATATACAAAAACTGATCTGTTCATAACTGTTCCATCTAACTTCAACTGTATCAAGATACATTCTGTCTTCCTAAAGCTTGCTATTCAACCACTTATAATATAGTTTTCCCTTTCAGTACCCCAGTGACTCACCTTAAGCTGTTCTGAAAGTTACCCGAACTCCTTAAACATCTAGTCTAATGGCTTTATCTCACTCTATATTTTCTTTGGCATGTCACAGTGTTTGAAACTGGTCATCAATCACTTCTCTTTTTTTACTTGTTTTTGAAAATTTCATACAGTGTACATGATTTTTTAATGGTAAATGGTGTACAAGATATATAGAAAAAATGAAACCTTTCTCCCCATTTTATTTCTAGGTCTCCCTAACCCTTTATTTTTCAATTGAAACAGTATCCTGTTCTGCTTTTTCCTAAGCTAATCCTTATTGTCAGCTTTCTGAGTATCAGTTCAAATATTACATGTATCTTGTTTTGTATCCAAATAGTACGGCACTATCTATACCATTCTGTACCTTACCTTTTTTCTATATAAATTTTTCCATGACAGCGCTGATAATCATCATTTTTAACAACTACCTCCTCTATGTAGCATATGTAATAATGTATCTAACCAACTCCTTATTGATGCAAATCCTTCACGTAAGACCTCATCACTACTACCCGGTTGATTTTATGTCTTTGAATACTATTAGTTATTCTATCTCCCCAATTTCTAATCTCCTTAATCGATTTCCTATCAGCCATTGTAGGGGAGGATTTCTCGATATTAAACAAAGGACCTCAATGAGGTACATCGCCAGCTTTTATTTTTTTATTTAGTTTTGGGACAAAGTCTCACTAAATCACTAAACTCCCCAGGCTGAGTTTGAACTTACCATCTTCCTGCCTCAGCCTCCAAAAGTACTGGGAATAGGCATCAGCATGCCTAGTTTTATCTATTCCCTAGAACTGAAATTCCTAGACCTCAACTTTCTTTTTCTTCTTTCTTTCTTTCTTTCTTTCTTTCTTTCTTTCTTTCTTTCTTTCTCTTTCTTTCCTTCTTTCTTTCTCTCTTTTTTTTCTCTTTCTTTCTTTCTTTCTTTCTTTCTTTCTTTCTTTCTTTCTTTCTTTCTTTCCTTTCTTTCTTTCTTTCTGTGCCTTCCTTTGTTGAACTCATCAATTGCAATACTTGCTATTATCATCTTTGGAGGTCCTGTGTATCAGTATCTCTAGACCTGATGTCTGCATCTTATGATCACCAGAATTTCATTTATAGGCATTTGACTACTTAACATAAATAAGGCCAAATTTTTAACTTTTGGCTCCAAGAATCACATCTGACCTCTATGGCATTACCTAAGCTTACCACATTAAAACCTCTCTAATATCATCTTATCCTTGATCTCTACATATGATTAGTCACCAGTGATTGTCAACTCAACAAAATAGACAAGAGTCATTTATAACTGAATTTGATTTGTGCCTCTAAGAAAAGTAAACTAGTGCTCAAATGACAATACATAATGATACAAAAATAAATTTTTTCATAGCAATGCACAATATAACATCTTTATAAACACAATTGTCTCTTCCTGTATTCATTTTCAGTTTATCTTAATAATTTTGTAACCATTGTTCCTACAGACATAATGATAATATTCTATATAAGGCTTTAATGTACTTCCTCTACAGAAGATTGATTTTAATTGACACTCTATAAAATTAACATGAGCATTTGAATTTAGAAACATACTATACATCCCATAGAGTAAAATTAATACAGCATTTAAAATTTTTTGGTTATACTTCAGTAGGTTTAATTTATACCAAAGAAATCTACAAGGTAAGCTCCAGGGTAGTACTGCTTATCTGGAGGACAGGATGACAGACTATAATTGCTTTATTAAGTACAACATTCTGAATTCCTATGAAGCTGTAATAGCTTGTTGTGCATTAGAGATTTTGTTATTTGGGATATAATTGACTGTAATGTATACTGTTTGCTCTTGAATAACTCCCATTTTCCACCTCAGAGAGGTTTTCATTTCAGCATCAAATAATATGATTACTGCATTTGTAAAGTTTCTGAAGCATCTTGAAATACCTTCAGTTGAAAAATTTTTAAATGAAATATCATATAAATTAAAGGGTGAAATTGAATTTAATCACAGATATTTCATTTTAAAGCCATGTATAATACCCAGAATAACTCATCCTGGTTTGCTGTTACCCCTTAGTTGGCTTCAGTCAGAGCTAGTAAGGCAAGTATCTAAAAGCTTAAAGAATTAACAGTCCTATTAAATATTTTGATTTATTGTTTCTAATTGTCATCTTTTGTTTTATCTTGGCACTATCTGCTTTAGCAATTTAGCAAACATCCCTTACACCAAAACTCAAATATCTATGATTAACTCTAAATTAGCCCTTGGGAATATTTGACACAGTTTCTGCTACACAGCCCATTTAGACAAACTTCCATCTCTCTTTACTAGTTTTTATATTTTCCTCTGTTGACCTCTTCTTCCTCCTCCCACAATCTTACTTTCAAATCTTGGTACACAGAGACAAATATCTTCTCCTTAAACTAAGATAATCCTTTTCTTCCTCTACCATACATTTTTTGGTTCTGTTCCCTGGTTGAACAATTGAGGATTTCCACATTCCTGATGTTATTTATTTTTCTAACCTTTAAAGTTCATACAACTGAGTATTTGCATAAACTCTGCTTTGGAATTCTAATAATTTTTTTCTTTCAAGACCAGGAAACAAAAGGCTCAGTCAAAAGCTAGTGGAATCACAAGAATTTCAACTTTCATACATTGATTTTCCTCTGCTATTTCCAACTGAATCATTATCTCTTTTTTTGTTTGTTTGTTTTGGTCTGCCTTTCAGGCAGGAGGGAAACTCAAACCTGTTGATCTTTGTTCTTGCTGTTGCTTCTTTAAAGGACTGAATTAAATGAAATGATGAAAAAGATACATTGAAAAAAGATATGGAAAAAAAGAAAAAGATATGGATTCCATGTCCCTTAACATTTTTTGCTTCTGCATTTTCAGGTAAAATCTGAACTATAAACCAGGCTTGGTGGCACATGCCTATAATCCCAGCACTCAGGAGGTTGAGGCACTGTGAGTTCGAGGCTAACCTGGGCTAACTGGAGAATTCAAGGCCAACCTGAACTGAATAGTAAAATCTCATCTCAAAAAAATAAAAAAATAAAAAAAAAATCTGAACTATACTATAAAGAATGAGTAGAGTCAATCTTGCCACCCATACATGATAGTGGGCTACCATAATTCATGTATCTTCCAACCTATAGAACAGCAGCTTTGGAAAACAAAGTTTCCAAGTTTAGATGTGACTCAATTTCCAGATTTCTAATGAAAATTTTAGTTTCTCATTAAATAGAAGTTCATAGGTTCTTTATGAAAGTTAACTGAACAGTTCTTACTCCATGAACCAGAAGTAAAAAGGACTAGAAAAATTAACCTGCCTAATCTTTGGTTATGCTAATCCCAGAAGACTGTGCAACTTGAGGCTTTATTTTTCCTACTGCTGTTTATTGAACCCTGGGTCCTATGCATGGTAGGCAAGGACTCTAACATTACATCCCCAGCCCTAAAATGAATTTCTTAAAGAAGAAGGACAACACATTCTGAAGCCAAACAAGAGTTTCTACACCCCAGAAATAGTTCCACATTTTAAAAATTGATGTTTGCTTGGGAATACTTCTTCTTCATTTCCTGCCCCCCCTTGATTCTATTTTTATCATGCCATAGCAATGGCTTGTGTTAATAAAAGCAGTCAGAGACACATGAGGTCTGTGAAGGAGAAACTGGAACTTAAGTACAAATAACATTATTTCACAGAGCAATGGAGAAGTGAAAATAACGCTGTCAAACTCCATATTTCCTCCCTTTCTGTGGAGGGGAAGAAATTCCCCATCACTGTCTCCAAAGGGCCACATTTTTTTTCAGGCTTTATATTGTTTTTATTAGAACCATCTCTGATAATCTAGAAAACAGTGATAAAAAACTGCAAAATAAATATATAGGAAATCCCAAAGGGCCACATTAAATCTTCCTTCCACCCTGCGTTTCTTTGAATTAAGCTCAAGGACATGTATATATTAAATTACATGGTCAAAACTAGCTTTTCAAAGGTAACTTCTTTTTTTTCCTTTTTTTATTATAAAGAGGGTAAGATTAAACATGTCAAAACAGAACAAAACATATCATAAGGGGGGCTAGGGATTTAGTTCAGTGGCTGCCTTGCAAGTGTGTGGTTGTGAGTTCGATCCCTGGTACCGATAAAAGAAGAAAAAGACAAAAAAAAAAAAACAGATCATAAGGAAAAAATTTTAAGAAACACAGATTTCAAAGCAAGTCCATTGGAGATCTTCACTGTCTATCTTATTGTCTCTAGTTTTCTTCCAAATAGTTGTCCCCATCTTAACACATTTTGAATACATATTGAACATTATAGAACTAATCAAATCATTACAGGCTGATGAAGGCTCTTTAGGTCTTCAAGACCTGACATTGGGGAAGTCAATAATGACTGCCATAATTGAAAGGTTTTTTTACTGTAGTCGTAAAGGCTGGGAGGCGGAACCAAAGGGCTCTATCTTGAGGTCCGCTTTTCCTACCCCTAGGCGATTTACCTGTGGCACAAAATGAATACCAATGGGCTACCTGTGCATCACTAATACTCCTTAGACACCACCCCAAACCTAAACTACATATATGCCCCCACACCATGTGTCTGGCGGAGAGAATGCCAGACCCCGGAGAGAATGTCAGATCCCAGAGGGTCAGGGGGTCTCTCCCCACATTATTAAAATAGAGGTCTCATTTTTATTTCATACTTTTTTCAACGCGCCAAAATCCTATCAGATGGTTCCCTTCCATGTGGAAAATTCTAGCAATATCTCTCATTCTCTTCGTAGTAGCTGTCCTTGTCTTTAAGTATGCTGAAATTGAACATAAAAGACTAGAATAATATCAAACTGAACAGTGAATAATAGTATTGCTAGATTTTATATCATAATGCTACAGAATTAGCATCAGGTTTCTTAGTGTCTCTTCTTCAGAGTATCTGTTCATTACATCATACTTTATATAATTTGTTTCCATAAAATGCTTAGAAATTCTCCCCATGTGTGAATCTCTACATGTATATCTATCCTTTCTGTATTATAGGGAAAAACAGATCATAACAAGACAACAAAACAAATTCCTAGAAAAACATGAAATGAAAAAGATATATAAAACCACAATATTAGGTGATCTAAAGTAGTTACTATGCTTTCTCTTGTTATTTTCAATAGAACTGTCCACATCATCACACATACTATAACTGAACATAGCATTACATAGCTATTTTAATAAAAACACAACTTTGGAGACATTGTATGACTTCAAAAGAAGTTAAAAATCAAACCGGAATGGGTATTTTATTACATCTTGTCATCTTCAGAGTAGTTGTTTCTGCTCTTAGTGTTGATACTATCAAGCATACCAAATTCGAATAAAATCAGTCAAGGTAAAACAACAGTCTAACAAACCAGCTTCAAATAATATCACTCATAGGAAGACAGTGCTAGTAATACAGTGCTTCAGTTTAAGTTAATAGGAAATTAAAGATAGTTACTGTGGTATAACCTGCTATTTTGGGGATAGCCGTCTGTTCCCCCAAATCTAGTATGAGTAGACAGAGCCAAACAAAATAAAATCAAACAAAAGAGCTATAAGACTACTGTGGCTTTTAAATCCTGATACACTATTAACAATGTTCTCTGCCTTCCTTTTTTAGGAAATTTCTCACCTTTCCTTTTCTCACGGAGCTTTGTATATTTTGGGTCCCACTAGCTCATTTAGTTTTTAGATTAGGGGGTCAACCTGTTACCTAACTGAGTGTTGCTGAACCTTTTTACCCCTGAGCTGGATCTTCAGCTGTACTCCTTTACTTACTAAAGCCACAAGGGTTTCCTTCCTTCTAGCTGTGTAGGTCTACACTGCACAGAAGTGTCATAACTTTCCAACCTATCTGCAGCTGCTGGACGAGTTGTCCCTATTTCTCTCTGGTTCCCTGTCACATAGAACATCATTTTCTCATCTTTGATTTTCAGTTTACTAACCCTCTTTCAGGTTGAGTATATTTCCTATTCAGAGCATCTCCATGGATCCTGCCTCCTAATCTACTCCGCTCGTATTTCTTTTTGTTATTGTATCAGGGCTATCTATATTAAAGATTATAGCCTACCTTCTCTGCCTCATTTATGCTATTCTATTTTTCTGCTATTATTTGTCCACTTTTCTCCTTCTTTCCACTGTCTACCCTGTTCATTGAGGCCTATCTGCCACTGTTGCTGGAATTCTGGTATTTTTTTCTCTCTCTCTCTAGAATGTCCTTGAGTATTTTTTGTAAGGTTAGATTGGTGGTTGTGAACTACCACAGTTCCTCCTTGTCTTGGAAACATCTTATTTCTCCATTGATTTTCAGAGAGAGTTTTTCAGGGTACATCAATCTGTGTTGGAGGCTATTTTCTTTCAGGGCTTGGACTATTTCCTCCCAGGCTCTTCTCAATTTGATAGTTTGTGTTGATAAGTCTGTCATTATTTTGATGATTTTTCCTTTGTAGGTGATCTGCTTCTTTTCTCTGGCCACTTTTAATATTCTGTTCTTGTGGTGGATTTCTTGGATCTTGATTATTATATGTCTGGGTGTAGATCTGTTTTGGTTGTAGTTGGTTGGAGTTCTGTATGCTTCATTTATCTGGATATCATTTCTTTTTCCTATGCTTGGGAAGTTTTCCTTAATTATTTCTGTGAATACTTTTTGTAATTCATTTGTGGTTACTCCTGATTCTTTGCTCATTTTTTTATTCTTAAATTATAGATTCTCTTGTCATCTTCTAGCCTTTAAATTGTTACTTCCTGGTTCCTTGTTATTTTTAATAGGTATTTTATTTCATGATCACACACTGTAAATCTCTCTTCAAGTTTTGAAAGGCTAGCTTTAGTTTCTGTCAAGGCATTTTGCCAGCTTTCAATGGAGTTTTTAGTTTCCTGGTAATCCCATTGGATCTGTTTCATGTATTCTAGATTTTGTTTATATTCTTCACCAAAGGTTTCTCTTCCTTTTCTGGGTTCCTCCATTCCTCCACCTGTTTTTTCTTGAGAAGGGCTTAATATTTGTTTAATTAATCTTTTTATATCTTGCCTCACTTGGATTAGAATTTCAGTTTTAAATTTGTCTATGAGGTCATGAAGGTATTTCTTTATGTCCGTTGATGTTGTGGCTAATATTGTATGATTGCTGCAATGGTTCTTTTCTGTATTTACCTCTCCTGGGCTCATTTTCCCAGAGTCAGCAGCTGGAGGTTTTCTCTTATTTTTTTCTCTTGTCATGTTTCTTGTTTCTTTCAGACAGGTGTATGGTGCAAGTCTCAGGCCCTTCCCATATTGCCTACTGTTTTTCTGCAGCATGCTGGCTTCTCCAGTTTGCTGTTATCTGAGGTGCATGCAGGTACTGCGGGCTAACAGCTCTTCTCTGAGCCAGTCAACCAGCAAGTGCCTTCAGCAACTTAGGCTGTGCTGTGGTGGATGTCACAGGTTCAAGACAGTTTCACCCCTGGCTATTGGGTCCTGACCAGGGGCATGACTCAGCCCAAGCTGATCCCACCACTCCTCTCTGAGCCAGGGGCAGCTGACAGATACCACCACAGCGCCGGACTCTGCTCCACTCCAAGATGTCTTTCAGCTGGCCTCACCTACCATGGGACCCAATTTCCAGCACTCACCAAGAATTAATGCAATTCTCCACCTTGGCTACACTCCACACTGTGCCTTGTCCTCCTGTCAAGGGCCTGGGACTCACCAATTCCTGTTATCGGTGGCCACAGCTTCAGCATGACCGTGGATCGTGGGACTCCACAGCATTCCCAGCACTGTGCGCGCAGGATGGGACTCAGTGAGTGCGTCCAGCTCCAGCCCTCCACTCGCATTCTGCATTTTTTCTTCCTCTTCCTATTTTTCTTTTTCCTTCAGTTTCCTACTGAGGTTCTGAGAATCCCTCTCCACTCATCCAGCCATCTCCATGCTGTCAAATTCCAGCACCTGATTTGTTTTTTCCAGAGAGGCTCTCTACCCAGCTAGCTAGCAAGCCACCATCTTCAGGATCAAGGGTAACTTCTTTCTAGAGTTATTTACAGCAAAACATTTGTAATTCTTTGAACCCTTGGAGATGAGAAAAAAAATATATTTTAGGCTAATAAAAACATCTTTCAAGACAAATTATTTTCAAGACACATTTTAAATCCACTAGTCCCTCTACCTTCATATTTACTAGAAATCAATTAATTAGTTTTAAATTTAAATTTTTTTATTTATTTTACGCATTTATTTATGTTTTGGTAACAGGAAATAAACTCAGGATCTTGCACTTTCCAAGCAGGTGCTGTTTCTTTTCTTTTTCTTTTTTTTTTTTTTGGGGGGGGGGCTTTTTGAGACAGGGTCTCACTATGCAGTTCAAGCTGGCCTTGAACTCACTTTGTAGCCCAGGCTGGTCTCAAACTTGCCACAATCCTCCTGCCTCAGCCTCCCAAGTGCTGGGATTACAGGAGTGGGCCACCATGCCCGGCTAGCGGGTGCTGTTTCTTTGAGCTACATCCCGAGCCCAGTTTTAAAGTTTTTAGAAGAAAGAAAAAAGTTTTTGGTTTCTTGATACTGGGTCTCATATGTAGTCCAGGCTGACCTTGAATTTTGCAATCCTCTTGCCTCAATTTCCCTGATGCTGTATGACATTGGGCTTGAAAATTATCTTTTGTATCAACTCATTTGGAGGAATTATCTTGATGTATGCAAACTTCCTTTTTGGGTTTTTTTTTTTTTTTGGTACTGGGGGTCAAGCTCATGACCTTGTGCAGGAGCTTATGTCACTGAGCTAAATCTCTGTCCCCAAAACCTTCCTTTTTGAAGACTTATTATCAGAAATTCCCATCATAAGACTAGGTAAGAATCCAATCTAGTATACAGAAGTGCTTAATTGTGCAAATATCCAAATCAACTGACAGATCTCTCCACTGTTCTTTAAACAATCTTTTACATTTTATGTACTTGCATCACTAAAAAAAAAACAGAAAAGGATAACTGTATGTGACACAGAGTGACTGTATTGATCATTTCACTACATAGATGTATCTTAAGATAAGTGTAACAGAAATCAATTTGTACACTTTAATTATATTCAGTAAAAATGTCCTTTAACAAAAACAGAAACTAGAAAAAAATTTAATTAAAAAATGTGACCTAATCTGGGTGTGGTAGTACATGCCTGTAATCACAGCACACCAGAGGCTGGGGCAAGAGAATTGCTGCAGGTTTAAGGCCACCCTTAACTCCATAGCAAGAACCTGTCTTTAAAAAAAATTGGACCTGAAAGTAAAAAGTAGAAACAGGGGAAATGAATAGAACAGAAGTAGGGTGGTATAATAGAGGATGGACATGATCAAACTATGATAGATGCATGAAGGCAAGAAAAAGTCACAGCAAAACCCATTAATTTGTACAGTTAATGTGTGTTAATAATTACAACTTCAAAAAGAAATACTAAAAAAGTGGTCTTTTAAAGTAGTGCATCTCCAACTTCGAAATGCTTTGAAATCCCCCGAAAATGTTGTTCAAGTCCAGATTAGCAGATCTAGAAGGAAGCCTGATGCTGGATACAGCTGCCACTACCAGGGTATAAAACACCACTCATCTGTGGGAGACCACGCTTTACCTACTGAGTTAAGCCAACTAAGTATTCATGCAGTTGCCACATTTCTTTTTGTTGAGGTATTAGTGCTACAGGTATTTTTGATTTTTGTTGATTTAAAGTTTTTCCAATCCTTGGGATTGAACATAGAATCTTAACCCTGAGTTACATCCTCATCACTTGTTGTATATATATTTTTTTATTTCAATGCAAGGTCTCTCTAAATGGTACAATTGTGTAGTTTAAGCAATTGCTCAGGTTTAGTATACTCCTGCTTCAGCCCCCAGAATGCTAGGATTACATCTGGGTACCACTGTGTGCAGCTATCACAGGTTTTAAGACACTTTTCTTTAGCCATTTAATATGAGGCTTTATTCAGAACAAATGTCTTAATCTATAGAGTTCTTATTACATGTGTGGTACAGACTAAAGGTTTGATGTATGTTTTTTTTTTTTTTTTTTTTTTTTTGCGTTTTTGAGACAGGGTCACACTATGCAGTTCTGGTTGGCCTTGGGCTCACTTTGTAGCCCAGGCTAGTCTCAAACTTGCAATGATCCTCCTGCCTCAGCCTCCTGAATCCTAAGGATTACAGGTGTGCACCACCACACCCAGCTTGATGCACATAAAATTTAATCTTGAAAATAACCTATGTGTGCATGATTATTTTCTTTCTTTTTTTTTTTTTTGTCTTTTTCATTTTTATCGATACCAGGGATCAAACTCACAACTGCCTGCTTGCAAGGCAGGCGCTTATGCCACTGAGCTAAATCCCCAGCCCCACATGATTATTTTCAAAAACAAAGTTGGAGTGTTGGGGCGGAGCAAAGATGGTGGATAGATAACAGTTGGCTACAGAGGCTCCCTGAGATAGTGAGCTTAGAATTCAACATAATACAGAATGGGGAGACTTGAACAGAGGGAGTTGAATTCTCTCGTCCCAAGAAGAAACTAAGGTGAGAAGAACCAATCAAACATTCAGTCCTGGTGCTATTATTGGAACAGCTAAAGATTCAGTGCTCCCACACAGCAGGTAACTTGCCGAGCCATTGGAAATCCCGCCATGTCAAGTCACTGGAGGTGCAGTCACATTGAGGTCAAGGTCACCAGCCAAATGGAGAGCTGAGCTGGCAGGGAGTCAGCATCAACCTGTGGTGAGTGACAGGAGTGGAGCCATTCCACAGAAAGGGGGGTTCTGGCAGACCACATTCTGGGACCCAGCAAGACTGGCAAGTACAAGGGGCAGCAGTGACTTCATTCAGTTGTTCCCTTCTGAAACAAGATTGGTGGAGTGAGCTAGGCCTGGCTGACACCCAACAGGTTATCCAAAATCAATTCCCTATGGCGGTGGCACACACTAATGCAGTGAAGCCTCAGAAGTTTGACTGACCTGGAGAGGAGGCAGAACAAAGTAATTCAGTGCAGGCCTCAGCAGCCTGATTGATCCAGAAGGAAGGGGCCAGCATATGCTGTCCCTGTCTGCAACTCACTAGCATACTGCAGTGGGAAGGGTCACCTAGCCAGCGTCCTTCAGAAGAATTGTAACCAACAAAGAAAGAAACTGGGGCCTCCTGGAAGGAAAAAAAAACATAGGAAGAGGAAGCAACAAGAAAAAGTCCCCATGTCCAAACCCTGAGAACATTGACCCAGGACAGGTAAATACAAAGAGAATGAGAACAGCAAACATGCAATATCAGACATGGCACCAGTGGACATAAAGAGATTATCTTCGGGACCTCATAGATGAGTTCAAAAGTGAAATATTAGGCCAAGTTAAGCAAGATATAAGAAGATTAATAAAAGAGATGCTAAGCACCCCTCAAGAAGACACAGAGAGAAGAAGGGAGGAACTCACACAAAGGAGAGAACTATTTGATGAAGAATATAAAGAAAATATAGAATACATGAAGCAGATACAAAGACATTACAAGGAAATTTAAAAATCTATGGAAAGATAGCAAACCAGCTCAAAAGAAACTAAGGATAGATTATCCAACCTGGAGGACAGGTTTGCAATGTGGGATTATGAAAAGAAAAAACTTTTAACAAGGAAACAAGCAGTAACAACATAAAGGCTAGAAGTTAACAAGAGGATCTACAACTTGAGAATAAAGAATGTGAATGAAGAAGCAGAAGTACAAACAAAGGAATTACAAAGGCTATTCACAGAAATAATTAAGGAAAACTTCTCAAACATAGGAAAAGTAAATGATACTCAGATGTATGAGGCATACAGAACTCCAGCCCCCTACAGCCAAAACAGAGCCATACTCAGGCATATAATAATCAAGATCCCAGAAATTCAATATAAAAACAGAATATCAGAAGCTGTTAGAGACAAGAAACAGATAACCTATAAAGTAAGGCCCTTCAGAATAATGGCAGACTTCTCAACACAAACCATCAAGTCAAGAAGAGCCTGGAGCAAAATAATCCTAGCCCTGAAAGAAAATAACTGGAGCCCAGATTGATATACCCTGCTAAACTGTCTCTAGAAATTAATGGAGAAACAAGATGCTTCCAAGACAAAGAGGAACTTGGGAAATTCACAACCACCAATCCAACTCTACAGAGAATACTGTAGGGCATTCTAGAGAGAGAGAAAAGTACTAGGATTCCAGGAACAGTGGCAGAGAAGCCTCAATGAATGGAGCAAAAAACAGAATGAAGAAGATAAGTAGACAACTGATGGCAAAAAAAGAGCATAACAGAAATAAGGCAGAGAAGGTTGGTTATAATCTCTAATATAGATGGCCTTGATACACTAAATTTAAAAAAAAAGAACCACGTATGGAGTAGATCAAGAGACAGGGTCCACTGAGATGCTATTTATAGGAAATATAATTAACATGTAAAAGAGTACATGGACTGAAAATCAAATATGAGAAGACAATGCTTTATGTGACAGAGAACCAAAGAGTAATAGGGGCAACTAGGCCAGTATTTGTGGATAGGTAGGAAAGACAGGCTTTAATAGGTAAAGGAATAAAATTAGAGAACAAGTCCAGGAGAGAGAAGGTTCAGAACCACTTAGGTAAATAGCAGGTTCCCCCCTCCAATTTAAAGCCAAGGGTCTATTCAGACCCAGAAATGCAGTGTACCCTGAGGAAGGGAAAGGGAAGGGAGAATCTTAAAAAAAGATGGCAGAAGATATTGTTAATAGTGTATCAGGATTTAAAACCACATTACTCGCACCACTCTGCTTAGATAGATTTTATTCTGTCCCACTGTGTCTGCTTGCTTTAGATTTGAGGGCACAGACAGCTATCCCAAAAACATCAGGATATAGCACTGTAATCATTTTTAATTTTTCATTATCTTAATCAGGAGCCCTGTATGACTTATACTTTTATCATGACTGATCCTAGTTAAATCTGGTTTGTTTGATTGGTGTTTGGTATTGACAGATTTTATTCAAAACTGATATGATTGATAGTATCAAGTCTGAGAGTATAGGCAACTACACTGAAGATGACCAGACTCTATAATACACATTCTGGTTTGATAACTGCTTGCTTTTGAAGTTTTATACTATATACAAAGTTCTGTTTTTATTACTACTGTTACGTACTGATATATTAAATTATATTATGTCTGATGATATAGCCAATTCTATTGAAGATAAAAAGAGACCACACAGGGACTCCTTGTACAACGGTCTTATATGTCTTTTTTGTTTTATGTGTTTATAGGAATATGTTTTGTTTTATCTTGCTTTGTTTTGTTTCTCTCTCTAATATATAGAGAGGATAGAAATACATGTTAAGGATAGAAATACATGTTAAAACACATGCATGTATAGAATCTATAAACAGTTTATGAGAACTGATCTTATGACATGTGATAAAATGAACTGATACTATGACATGTGATAAAATGAACTGATACAGCAATACTATTATTCTTTGTTCAGAACGACTTTAGCCTGCTTTAGTTTGTTTAATCCCAACATAAATTAAGATATGGATAATAGCATGCATGTTTAAGTGTATAGAATTGACAACCATATTACTAAGTTTTTGTTGGATAGTTGAACAGAACTGTTTTCAGTCTCGCTGTTTGAATTCCCAATTTATATGTTCTGCTTTTGTATCTTGAACAACTATTTGTAAAACAACAATATGTAAACATTAACTAGTGATTTCTTACTGTTTATTTTTTCTCTGAACGTATGTATTATTTTACCCATTTTCTGTTTTGTTTAGTCTTTCTTTAAATAAATTTTTTTTAAAAGTTGGGCTCTCTGAGAGGTTAACAACTTTGCCCAAGGTGAGAGTGCAAGTGCATCCCAGGAATTTGGAACATATGATAAAACTGTCTCAACAAACAAACCAAAAGAAAGGACTTTGATAGTAAGTAAAGAGAAGGATATATGAGCAATAATGTTTTATGAAATCTGAACAGAACTATTTGATCAGAACAGTGTTCCAGCAGCCAGGTGCAGTGGCACACGCCTGTAATCCCAGCACTTAGGAGGCTGAGGCAGGAGTATCAGTGTGAGTTTGAGATCAGCCTGGGCTACAAAGTGAGTTAAAGGCCATTCTGAACCACATACTGAAACTCTGCCTCAAAAAAGACAAAAAACTAGAGTTCTACATTCCCAGAGTGTATTAGTTAGCAGCTGCTACATAACAAAATGTTCCAAAATTCTGTGGTTTTAAATAATAGCTCTTTTATTTAGATCATGATTCTCTAGATTGTTTCTGGTCCAAGCCATACTAGGCTGATCTCACTCACCTGGCACTGGTTGTTTATCTATGGTCAACCTGGTCAGCTGGAGAGTTAGGTGGGGGCTGACTGACCATAGGTGAGCTCATTCAGGTACCGTGTTCTATAGGTTGAAAGAGAAATGAATTGTGGGAGCCCACTATCATGTTTAGATTTGAAGACTGACTCTACTCATTCTTCATGTTATAGTTCAGATTTTACCTGAAAATGCAGAAGCAAAATATTAAGGGGTCTCATCTCAGCAGTGGTAAAAAAATATTAAGGGGCATGGATCCATATTTTTTCTAAAGCAAATCTTATAGCCACACATTCTATCTTGTATGTGTGTGAGTATGTGCTGGGGATCAAACTCAGGGCCTCAAGGATGCTAAGCATGCACTGCACCACCAAGTTACACCTTCACTTCATGATTCTACTTCCATTTTAATTTTTAAAAATTCTTCTGATTTCACATTTTACCTCTATAAAATGAAGTAGAGAATTGTGTGCATTCTAACAACTGCCAGTTATAGATAATGGTGAAGAGGACTGGAGAAGAGTGAACTTCCAAAAGTTGTGGCTAAAGAAGAAGGACAACAATCACCAGAGTCCCTTCAATATTTTTACTTGTAGGCTTACATGACACATATTTACATTTGTGAAGGGCTGGGGACGTAGCTCAGTGGCAAAGCACATGCTTAACCTGTGTGAGGGCCTGGGTTCAAAACCAGCACCAAAAAAGAAAGCCCGGAAAAATTTAAACTTGTCATTTTAAAATAATTTCTGCAAATTACTTTATAGTTTTTAAAAATACGATAGACAGCTACAAAGAAAAAGGTCTGCTTGACATGGTGACACATGCCTGTAATTCTAGCTACTCAAGAGGCTGAAACAGAGGATTAAAAATTTCCAAAATAGGTAACTCAGTGAGATTCTATATCAAAATAAAATATGAAAAAAGGAGGGCAGGGAGGTAGCTTTCTGGTAGAGCATACCTAAATTTGTTGTCGCTTGGCATAACTGATGCCATCTTGAGCCCTGCATTTAGCTTGTGCCCTGTACTTGACTCAGGAAAATGGAAAATTGCTCAGAGTCTAAGTCCCATGAGAAAAGCAGAATGAGCTGTACCCTCAGGAGAAAAATTAACCTGCTCAACAAAAGAAGCAGGATACAGGTGTCAACCAAAAATTAATGTAAGATTCTAGCTAAACTGTTTCCAACAGAATGTCTTTTGTGATTCTCTTTTTTAAAAACTCTGTAACTTTCCAGTTCAGTGCCACTTGTTTGGATTCTGAAATGGGGGATTCTGTGTATGAATGGCCCTCAGGTCAGTTAATTAAATTCCAAATTTATCAATTTTGCTGCTTGGATTCCTATATTGTTCATGGACTCACCTCAAATTTAACGCTCAGTACAGGAAAAAAAAGTCTTCTTCTCTAAACCTCTTCTTTTCTACTCTCAAAAGGAAAACATTGTTTTCAATATTAGGTTTATTTCAATATTAGGTAAAATTAAGCTTTTATTGTAGATTTTAACAAATTTTTAATGTTGAAGTTGTTATTTTAAGTAAATATTCCATGTAGAATTGTTAATATTTTGTAACATTTTAACTTTGAGATCTATACTTGACCATATTGCATCCAGTTCAGAAAATACTTATTCAGCTTTATTATGAGCCAGGCATAAGGCATTTAATAGATAAAAACTACTAAAATTTGAGTCAGTTGTGGTATCACATACCTGTATTCCCAGCACTCTAGGTGGCTGAGGCATTAGGATGGGATCACAAGTTCCAGTCCAGTCTGGGTAATTTAGCAATTTATCCAGATTTTGCTTTAAAATTAAAGAATTTTAGAGCTGGGTGTGGTGGTACATGCCTGTAATCTCAGCACTGGAAGGCTGAGGCAGGAGGAATGCTGTGAGTTTGAGGCTATCCTGAGATACAAAGTGAGTTCAAGGCCAGCCTGAACTGCATAGTGAAACTGTCACAGAAAAAGACACACACTCACATATGCACACACATACAAAAAAAGAAATCTAAAAAGGACTGGGAATGTATCCCAGTGTGAAGGCCCTAGGTTCACTCTCTAGTACTTAAAAAAAAAAAACTACCAAGATTCAACTCCTAGTTTCAAAGAGATCATAGTTTGGTGTCCCCTATATCTCTAACCAGGAAAAAAGATGGGGCAGCAGACAGGAAACTACTATTTAATACCGATAGTGTCTTCTTTCCATTTTACCATACAGAGAACTTTAGAGTATATTTTCTTCAGGCAAGTTTCAGCTCTCTCCTGTGATTCTCACAAACTGATTGTTTTTTATGTGCATTCCAACGTAATCCATGAACTTCTCTCTCTGTATTTCTCTACCTCTTTACAATTCATAAGGAAATGATGTTGTATTTACACTGCTTTTATCTTAAGTACAACATAATTAAACCAAGAAAAACTGGTTCTCTAACCATTGGTCCCTCTGACCTTGAGTCAACTGCAGATTCACCCAAGTCAAATTTTTAGAATCCATTAAACTTGAGCACCCTGAGAAAAGGCACTAGTCTTTCTACACAAGAATACTTTGTTGTCACAAGAATACTTTGTTGTCAGGCTGGGCAGCCCACACCTGTAATCCCTACTACACAAAAGGCTGGGATAGGATGATCATAAAGTCAAGGCAAGCCTGTGCAACTTAGCCAGACTATGTCCCCAAATAAATTTTTATTTTATGTTTTTAAGATAGGGTCTTGCCCATAGTTCTGTCCTACCTCATGCCTCACTTGCGAGTTCCCAATCTTCTTCACTGTGGACCTGTCTCAACTCATGGTTTTGCTCTATAAAGATCCCTAGAAAAGTCAGGGTCCTCAGCAACCCACTCTGGACCCCTTCTGTCTCTCAGACAGAAGCTTTCTTTCTCTCAGTAAATATACTCTTCTCTTAAAAGATACGGTCTTGCTATGTAGTTCAGGCTTGCCTAAAACTCATGGAAATTCTTCCTGCCTCAGCCTCCTGAATGCTAGAGTTAATGTGTCACCATGCCCAGACTCAAAAAAAAAATTAGAATGGGACTGGAGTGTAGCTTCATTGTAGAGCATTTACTTAGCATATGCAAGAGTCCTGGTTCCATCCCCAGCACACACACAGAAACACACACACATATTACTTTGTCAAACCCTCTATCTTGATTCCTTTAAGTTTTAAAGTCATTTCTGCAACAAAAACTCACACTGAAAAGTAGCAGCCCAAGGAAAGTTATAGAATGTGTATAGTCCTCAAACTTCAGTGATGTACACTAAGTTGAATATTGCACATTTAGTAATTAGCCCCTTACCTAGCCAGCCATTAAGATTGAGGATAATGGTCTAATATTTCCAAAAGCTGTCTCATTTTTCAGAATCACCTGAGAGCCAGGGAGGTAGCTCAGCAGTACAGCACCTACCTGGCAAGCCTGAGGTATTGAGTTCGATTCCCGCTACAAAAAAAAAAAAATCACCTGAGATGCTGATTAAGCATGGAGCTTTTCCAGATCTTTTCACTGGGAGATTTGGTTCATGATATTTGAACCTAGAACCACTACAGTTAATAACTATCTCCCCAGTGATTCTTAAATTTATGCAAGTTTAAAAAACATTACCATAGGGTAGGGGAACATTTTAGACCAAGTTCCCAAACTGCATCTAAAAACCCCACTTATTAATCACAAAGTACCAACACTGCAATTAACCTGAAATACTGAGCTTTAGGAAAAATCAAATCATACATTAATATCTTTCATCTTAAAAGAAAAACACAATAATAGAGCTTTCAATGGTATAAACAGTTTTTGTTGACAGATAAAAGTTCACCTTTGGCAAGCTTTTGCATAATTAATATGATCTTTGCTGTTGTATGCACACTGATAATTTGTCCAAGCTTGGCTGGAGTAGCTTGGCCCATGTGCCAGCAGCGAGGGATATGCCTACCCACTGCATCAGACATACCATAAGTTTGCCACCACTGGCATAGGGCAATAGTTTTCAACCATAAATGTGTATTAATACCAACAGGAGAGTTTTAAAATGTACATATTATACATATTTGTGCCCAATTCCAAGCCCAGAGAGTCTGATTGAATTTACTAGTATTGCTGTTTGTTTCTATGATTCTCGAGATTAAACTCAGAGCCTTCCAACTGAGCTAAACCTCCCAGCCCTTTTTAAAAAAAATTTGTTTTGAAACATACTCTTGCTAAGTCATTAAACTGCCCAAACAAGGCTTCAATTTCTGGTCCTTCTGCCTAAACCTTTTAGGTAGCTGCAGTTACAGACACGAGCCATCATTCCTAGCTGTTTTTTTTTTTTTAATTCAGGCAAAATTTTGCTATGTAGCCTAGGCTGGCCTTGAACCAGCAACTATTCTCCTGCCTCAGCCTCCTGACTGCTGGGATTACAGACATGCACCACTATGCTCAGCCACATTGATGATTTTAAAACTTCATATTATGTTTTAAATATGAAGTTTCCTATAAAGACACATGTATTGAGGGTGATAATCTCATCAAAGAATTAATCCATTGATGAGTTTATATTAGAGGTGGTCATTAGGAGGTGGGGCCCAGTTTCAGGAAGTAGGTCACTGTGGGTATACCTTTGAAAGTTATATTCTGACCTCACCCCTTTCTATATCTCTTTCTGGTTCTTCCCCTACTCTCTATGTCCTGCCTTCCATGAAGGTAGAACTTTCTTGCTATATCATGTCTCTGCCTTAGTGTTATCTTACCACTGAATGAAACCTCTGAAACCATAAGCCAAAGGAAACCTTTTCTTTAAATTCTGGGATCAGGTATTTGGTTCCAGCAATATAAAGGTGCCTAATACAAGTACCCAGGAATTTCTATTGATGAGCAATTCTAGTGTCAGAAAGAAGGATCTAAAGCAGTATCAGTGTCCTTTACACACATAAAAATTCAGGAGAGCATCAAAAAACTTGTTTAAGTGGGTCATGTTCATATTTTTCATAGTAGAAATTAAAAGCAAGACATTTTAAACAGTTATTGACTCATTTTGTTAGTTTACTATCTTTGTTAATTTTCTCTCATTGTTGAGACAATATACCTGACACCCAAAGTGAAACAAAGGAAGGTTTGTTTCTTACAGTTCTTGAAGTTTTCAGTCCATATTCAGCTGGTTCCAAAGCAAGATGGCATGGCTAAGGTGCAGCTATTTGTGGCCACTACAAATAGCAAGCATGAACAGAGCAAAAAACAAAATACAAACCTCCTTCCCACCCTGATACTGTATGCTGGTTCCGCCCCAGAGCAGGTGCAAGACTCATACCACTAATCCTAGCGCCAGACAATGAATCAACCTTGAATTCCAGAATCAACTGTGTCCATGATTGCATGAGGCTTGGGAGGACGATCTGAACACAAACCATAACATCTACTTTCCCAACACAAAGACACAATACTTTGCCCTTTTAATTTGTCCCATGGTTTCAAGAGATTCATTCCATGATCAGCTGGCTCTAAGACATCAATATTATGATGGAAGGCCCTAGGAAAGTAAAGCTACTTAATTAATGGGTATCTTAGTTACTTTTCTTGCTGCCTTGACAAAAATACCCAATACTGAAAGCTATAGGAGGGAAGGTGTATTTAACTTACAGTTTGTAGAGGTTTCAGTTCACAGTTGACTGGCTCCAAGGCAAGGTGGCATGACAGAGGGACATCTCAGAGGAGAAAAAGAGTTCATGGTGGGTAGAAGCTAGCAAAACAAAGAAGTAACTAGTGACAAGCCCTGACCACAGCTCTTTTGGTCCTTTATATCTTACCCAGGATCCCTGTCTTTAGGGGGTAGGTAGCACTCACAACCTTAAACTCACCATCTCTGTTTTAATTCCACCATGAATCAATCCCAGCATTATTTCCTTCATCCCAGCAGCACAAACCTTCAATCCAGCCACCTCCATAAAGCCCCAACTATGATCACATGAGACTCTGGAGGGACATGTAGATACAAGCCATAACAGTGGGAAACAAGGAGCAGAGCAGGAGAACAGTGTCAAAGTTTTAGGGCCCGGGGATCAGATATAGACCCCAAGACTACTCCTCCATGACCCACCTAAAAATGTGCTTCACCAATCTTCAGGATGGATTTCAAAGTCAATAAATTTCAAATTCTATCCTGACTGCCACATTCATTTAAGGTTTACAATAATAAACCCATTGCATGATAATATAATATAAACGTATTTTCAAAAACATAAGCCTGATGTGATGGTGCATGCCTGTAATCCCAGCACTTGAGAGGCTGAGACAAAAGAATCATTATGTGTTTGAGACCAGCCTGAGCTACAAAGTGAGCTCAAGCCCAGCCTGAACTGCACAGTGAGACCTTGTCTCGAAAAAATAAATAAAAATAAAAAAATTAGTAAGAAGAGTAGCATTGTTTTCTAGTTTTGTAAATCTCTTTATATTCTGGCCTATAGTAGACAGCTAGAGCCTACATTTAATCTATGAAGATATGTTATTTGATTAAAGAATTCAGCTTGAGCTTTGTTTTTTAAAATATAGCCATACAGAGATATATTAGAGATATAAAGGAGAAATATTATTTGTTTGTTTGTGTGTGTGTGCTTGTTTATTTATGGCACTGAGAATTAAATTCAGGGCCTTCACATTGAGCTATACACTCAACACTTTTCTGTTTTTTGTTTGAGTCAGGGTCTCCCTCAGTTACTAAGTTGCCCACCCTGGGCTCAAATTCATGATCCTCTTGTCTCAGCCTCTCAGAGTGCTAAGATTACAGGCATGTGCTACTGGGTCCAATGAATTTTTCATATCATGCAATATCAACTATGTCACATTATAAAAGAATGGAAGAAGGTGATCCAGAGATTGACAGAGGCACTGGGAGGGGAAGGGGACTTAAAATGAATTAATATGTGTTATATACATGTACCAACTCCCTACAATGAATGTAATCATCATGTATTGCAAATTTGTACTAATAAAAATAAATTAAATTTAAGAAACAAAGGAAAGGGCTGAATAACTCAGAGAATCAATATTTTGTCAAATGACCAACACATAGTATAAACTCTTACATGGATAGAAGATACATTCACAGTTAAGAGCAGTGGTGTCTAATGTAATAGAAAATAAAAAAAAAAATCATTGATGGTTCCACATTAGAAGCAACTTTTAAACTGCACAAGTTAACGCCTGTAATTCCAGCACTCAGGAGCCTGAGGCAGGAGGATCACCAAGAGTTCAGGGCCACCTGGGGATACATAGGGAATTGAAGGCCAGCCGGAACTACATAGTGAGATCCCTCTTCCAAAAAAAAAAAAAAATTACCTCTTGTAGTGTTTTGGTGTTGTGTTAAAGAATATCCGCAATCACCTGAGAAGAAAACAAAAAGCAAAAATCACAGTTTGACATTTGTTCTTTCAAGTAAAAATGATGTTTCATGAAGAAAAACTGCTATTTCACACCAGGCATGGTGGCTCACTCCTGTAATCCCAGCACTCGGGAGGCTGAGGCAGGAGGATCCTTGTGAGTTCGAGACTAGTTTAGGTTACAAAGTGAGCTCAAGGCCAGCCTGAACTGCATTGAGAGACCCTGTCTCAAAAAGACAAAAAAAGATGCTATTTCAGCCTTTAGCCCATTCATTTTCTCTAAAGGCATCTATTCTACTTCAGTATGCAGCAGAAGTGCTTTGTGTGTACATCACATCTCAACACAAGGAATATTTTATAATATGCACTCAAAAGCTGGGAATAGTGCCACATCCCTGTAATCCCAGGAAGCTGAGTCAAGAGGATCATTAAAAACTTTTGGCCAGGCTCAGCTTTGTATCAAGTCCAAAGCCAGTCTGGACTATAAAGCTAAGCTCTGCTTCAAAAGATGTATATTTGAAGGTTTAAGGCTAATACCATTTACAAATTGTCGAGTTTCATCAAAGATATTCTTAAATGAGAGTGACTTCTTTTTACTGTGTATGTGGAATAATAAACATGTAAAGATTACTACTATACTATAGTACTGATACTGCTTGTTTCAATTCACTTTAAGGAGTCAGAAAAATTTTTTATTGCTTTTGTGCCATCAGTACAAATGTCAACAGAGTTATGAAGGGAGGTAGTATTATCACAGGGTTTTAGAGGTGCTGGAGTCTCCTTCAGGAGGGGATTTCTAGATTCTTTCTGTCCTAAGAAAACAATTGAGCAAGAGAACCACAAGTGGTAGCAAAGTAATACTAAAAGTAGGAAAAGAAGCAGTCTCTGCAAAGTGAGTTTTGGCCAAGTAAAAATAGGGAAAGGACACCCTATAGCATGAGGGTAGGTTAACAGACAGGCAGGCAGGTGCTCTGTCACTGAACAGCCCCAATGGGCTAATACAAGAGAGAACACAGTGGTCAAAACTCAATGTGTACTGTCTTTTTTTGTATCCTATCAAAAACCTGCTCAAGATTTCCTGAGAAGTCCACATGCAGGACTTTGAGAGCAGTTCTGTTCATGTGTCCTTTGATTTTGCAATTAATTGGTCATACATGCTTCCCTAGCCAGCATTACCATGCCCTAATCTTCTGTCTCAGTGTTGTGGCATTATTTTGAAAATGGTTTTAGACTCATGAAACCCATGAAAAGAGCTTTGAAATCACATTTGTAGAATAGCTGAACTAAAAGAACATAGAGTGGTTTTAATTAGAAAGATAGATGGGAAAATGTAGCATGCATTTTCCTATTTATTGCTGAAATTTCCTATATTCACAAGCTAGGTATTATTATTTATATTTTATAAATAAGTTAATTGAATCTCAGGGAGCTTAAATAATTTTCTAATATCAAGGAAGAGCTAGGATTTAAGTCCAGACCTTCCTGAATCTAAGCTTGTCCTGTTGTTGCTATGCCAATTCATCTTCCTTCACTTGAACCATTTGAGGTTTAAATAATAGCTAGGAAGACATACTGAGCATTTACACACTGAAAACTATTCTCAAAACTCCAATGCATGGCCAGGGATTTTAGCTTAGTGGCAAAGCGCCTGCCTGGCAAGTGCAAGTTTCTGAGTTTGATCTCTGGTACCAAAAAACAAACAAACAAACAAAAACCCTCCAATATCTCCAATGCATTAACTCATTTAACCCTCCCAACAGTTGGGCTCTTCTATCAGCTCTACTTTAGACAAGGAAATGGAGACCCAGAGAATTTTCATAGCCTTCCCAAAGCCACAGAGCTAAGAGCTATGGAGTTAATACTGTTACAGGCAGCTGAGCTAGTTATAAATATTATAGGCAGCCAGACAGGACTAGGCCCTTGAGGAAGCAGGCACAGAGGACCAAATGTCTTGTGACCTTGGAGGAGACACACACCTCTTGCTGTGGGCCAGATCTCAAGACAGAAGGCAAAACAAATGCAACCACACCCTAAGTATAAACATTAGAGATTAAGTATGGATCACCTTGAGAAGCCAGGAATCACCATCCCAACCCACTATGGGAAGAGCCACTGAACCATGAAGAATGCTTGCTTGGTATGTGACTTGTTTCCCCATTTATCCGTAATTTGGTCAATTCTACCTGAACAATTAATCTGATTGGTTGATCATAGTTCTGTCCCATCTCATGCCTGTCTGTCTTGTGAGTTCTCAGTCTCCCCCCCCCCCCCGCCATTTTAGGCCTGTATCACCTCATGGTTTTACTCTATAAAAATCCCTAGAAGAAAAACAACCCTTGGCAATCCACTCAGGACCCCTTCTGTCTCTCAGACAGAAATCCTCTTTCTCTCAATAAATATTTTTGCAATTTAACCTCCGTTGTTCCTAAAATTCATTCTTCAGTTTTAGAGAACAAGAACTCATACCAAACATAGGTTGAGAATTTCATTACCTTATGTCAATATTCTAATCTGAAGGGCAGGTGTTAAAACCATTTTGGTTTGCTTTTGTGGTGGGAAGAGGCAGGCAGGGTCTCACTAATAGCCGAGGCTGGCTAATCCTCCTGCCTCAGCCTCTCGATTTCTGGAATTACAGGTGTTGGCCTGTATGTCCAGCACTCAAAACCATTTTACTAAAACATCTAAGTAGAAATGATAATGAGAAATCTCAAATAAAAAGATAAATTGTTTAATATACATAATTCATATTTATAATTATTACTTGGATAACAATAGAACTAAAAGAGTTTTGGCTCAGACAGGACACTGTAGCCGGTGAAGCCTTAGAGGCAGAACCAAGGAGCTCCTATCTCCCGCACCCCTAGGAATTTACCTGTGACTCCATCTTCCCTGCCCCTAGGAATTTACCTATGGCACCAAACAAAGACCAATGGGCTACTTGTGCCTCCCTAATGCCCCCTTAGGTTCCACCCCAAACCAAGGCTACTTATATACCCCCCACGCCACATGTCCACCAGAGAGAAAGCTGGACTCCAGCGGTCGGGGGTGTTTTGGTTTTCTTTCTCTGCATTCTCAGAATAAAGGCCTCTTTTGTTTTATACTTCTCATCTTTTGGATACAACCTTATCATTACTACTTACATACTTTTGCTTATTTGAACCTAAAATGATGTTGGTTTGTTTCACTTTCTCATGGAGACACAAAGCCACATGTGGGAAAAAACTCTCTAAAATACGTGGAAGAAGCAAGAAGTTAATTCACAGGAATTAACTAATAATAGAAACTTAGAAGCAGTGTAGTTTAGTTTACATTTTTAGACTTTTGAGATCAGGATGTGGTGACCAAATGTGCAGATGGGAAAATGATGTGGTCTACATCACACTGAGCATATGACAGATACTCATCTAGATCACACCTGTTCCTGGAGAAGATCAGGGCACTGGAATAATCATGAGTATAACAATAGAACCATTTCCTTTGCCATTTAGCAGCACAAAAATTGTCTTTGTATCTATTTCCTTTTTTTAAAAAATAATGGTAATAGAACCATTACTCAACAGACTAAAATAGATTTATATGTTAGTTTCCAGGAGCTTTTCCTAAATGGACCTCCATTTCTCCAGCCAATCCAAGCCTACTCATTTGGAAAAAACAGTTATTTATTTTTATCCATAGAGGAGCCACAGAGATGACTCTCCTTAAAAAAAAAATCAACTATCTCCATTTTAGTTATACTTGGCCCTCTCTCCATGTATTGATATGTACAGAGCTGGCTAGGCTATTTCTTTGCCTCTTCAATTGGCTTTAAGCAATGTAAATTGGTCTGGCTAAGGAGCTAATGTATAATTTCTGAAGCAAAGTGACAGCATTGCCCCACCCAATGACTTCCCAAATATGTGGTTGAGCTGGGCAGAATGGAGAGCTGTACTCTACACTGGGACCGAGCCTCAAAACAGAGGCTATGACTTCCTAGGGCAAAAAGGATTATCCATTAAAACTAAAGCATGGACGCCAAGTTATTAGCCATTATCCCAGTTGTTATACAGATTGCTCTCTCTGGATTTCTTGTCCTCTACATATCACAGATGTGATCTCAGATCTCCTACTTAGGAGCCCAGCTCATGGTTCATGGCAGTCACATATTTCCCCACCACTCTCACTGTCACTCATCCCCAAGCCACTCCTCTCATAGAGAATTAATAAAACCTGGAAGGGCTCTGGGTCAAGGCCTTTGCTCTGCTGAACCACTAACTTGGCTGGATTTAGGCCTCCTTGGCTCCCCATAACTGTGTATATGTCTCAGTGTCTTTATTCTCAAATGGGTTACAATAAAGTGGTAAATTAACTGATTAAAATTCTAGTATCTTCTTTTTAGGATTATAAGTATAAACTTTCCTGGACCACAAGGAAGACAAAAAAGAGTTCTCCATATTTATCTATGAAAAAGCCCAAAAGAGCACAGTTGCAGAACTGGCCTTTCCCATGCCTGGGAAATAGAAGTTCCTCTCCTGTCTCCTTGTCCCTACACTCTATACTCCATCAACTTTTACTCTACTTTCCCTTCATACCTATAGCTTTTCTGTCTCACTTTCTGAATTCTAATTGTTCTGTCTTGCCTTTCCCAGATAAAAAGAGGGTGGGGTGTCTCCATAGGAAGGAAAGGGACTTTTGTTATGTGATAGCTCGGACCCTGGAATAAAACCCAAGGAAGCAAGAAATTAAAATTTGGGGAGCAAAGGCTTTATTTTAGGCCAGGCCTTGGAGACGCAATCCCCGGGAGCCAATTTGGAGACTGCATGCCTTCAGCTAGAAAGGTTGAGTTTCAAAGCTGAAAACTACAGGAATGTTGCGAACCTTGACCCAGTTAGATAGCCTCTGAGCCTTACAGAACTTCCTGTAATTTCCATGAAGTTAACCATTTCTTAAAGAACGACACATTTTATTACAGATAGGCAGATGACGGTAGGGGAGGGGGTTACAGGAAACTGATACCTAAGGCTTTTACAGGCTTTCAGGAAATTGAAACTTAACGTAGAAAGACAGGAAGTGAAGGGGGGGGGGTGAGCGGCACTTACAGAACAGAAATGAGGTGCAAGGTTAAAACTAGGTTACAACATTCCCCTCTGATGTTGTGACTGAGGTCAAATCTTTGACCTAATTTTTAAGGATTTTGAAGTACGGGCTTGTAGGCATGCTGGCATAACATCATCAACTTTATGCCTTGCATTTGATGTCTGACATATACAGTTATTCTATTGAGTATATAAGGACCTACTGTGACCAAGAGCAGTACTCCTAACAATGGTCCAAGCAAGGGCAGGAGATAGGGCAGGATTCCATTTTAGACACTCCATAAAGCATTTTCAAATAGCTCTCTCCTCCTTTTAACTAGGTCCTCCTATAGTCTCTTGATTTTATCCCCTTCTGTTTTGGAGAACTACTTCAGCCAATGAGTCTATTTGGTCTTGAATGACCTGAATGGTACTACATAATGCCTGCACATAATAACGATCTGGTTGGAAAGTTGGACAGAAACCCCTACTCCTGCTGCCCCCATACCTAAGGCTCCTGATATTGTTAGGCCTACCAATAAAGGAATAAATTGAATTGCCCTCTTTGAGCAGTCTGTAATGTAATCTAAACTAGGAATGGGAACAGGCTCATCCCTGGGTAGGATCTCTATATCAGGCAATAGGACTGCTGTTACACATATCCCTGTCCAGTTAGTTGGGAGGAAAGTATAGGCCATATTTCCTCCACAAATAAATACTTGCCCTTTGGCAGGATAAAGGGAGGTAGTCCGGTTAACTATGGAACTACAATTAGTAAGTGCAATGAACCCCACGTCAATGTCGGAGGTATCATTATGAAAACCTCCTTGAAGACAGAGAGAGTCCTTGAAGCCTACTGATTGTACTCTAAAGGTGGGACCAGCATTACAATTTAAGTAATCTTGTTCCTCCAGCGTAGTCAGAGAAACATTGGTGGGAATCACAAGGGCCATGGGGGAGCCCTGTGCCATGCATAACCAGCAATCTTCAGCCAAAGTTGGGTTGGAAGCATTTAAGGCTTTATGAATGGCCTCTAGAATATCAGAAGTTTGAGCATCCAGATCAACTCCCTGCGATTTAGGCAGCACCAAGAGGCAATAATGTATCTGGGGAAACATCTTTATTAGCTGCTTGACTCGTTCCTCAACCATGAGTTCTCTGATCTTATCTTGTGGGCCGCTCCCATCAGACACATGTATAGGAGCCACCCTGCTCCAGCACACTGATTTACCAACCGTGCCAAGACATGAGGCTTGGGCATACTTTGAACTTCCTATTATTGTCAGATTGGTGGACCAATCACCTCGAACACTTCCAGTTCGTGTCCTCATAAGCTCAGCAGTGAAGTAAGTTTTGCTATCTATGCCTATACATTCTTGTACAGAATCATAGCAGGAGGAATGCATTTCTGAATACTAAGAACAATTCTGAGAGCATGGCCCTGGCTGGCTATCTTTGTTAGGTATCATGTGGGGCTTTAACATATACATCTACCGTTGAGTCAAACCCCCTGTAACTGAAGGTATAGCAAGAAGGAATGTTAACTTGTCTCCACAATCTGTCCGAAGACTGTATGTATACAATTTATCATTTGTGTGGGAAGGATCTCGATCCTTGTTTCCTACTGTATGTATAATCCCCCCCCAGTTGGTGTCTTTACCTTTAGTAATATAGCCCCCTCCACAATCACAGGGGTTCCCATACAAAGATCTTAACAATTGTTCTTTGCTTACAGGGGGACTAAAGCCGCCATGCAAGGTCAGCATCAATGTTATTAAAATCAAAGCAAGCAAGCTAAAACAGTTCATGCCTGGCATAATCTAACTATGCTTTAGTCAATTTTAAGTTTAAGGGGTTACCAGTCTGCTGTACAGTCCACTGAGAACACACCTCACTGTCTGTTGCTTCCAGCGGTTTGACATGGGTATGGTGAATCCACGCAGTCTTTCCTGCTACCTTGACGGGAGTGCTGAGCACCACGGTGAAAGGTCCTTCCCAGCAGGGTTCGAGGGAGTCGCGGTGGTGACATCGCATCAAGATTGGAGTCCCCAGCTTGATCAGAACCTTGGGGGGCATCTCTGAAGGCAGATCTGGGTGTTTTTGTCTAAACAGCTGGTGGATTGAAGTCAACACGGGTTGGAGAGTCTGCAGGGACTTAATGAGATCCTGATTAGTTATTTCAGCTAGTTTATCTTCTGACAATCTTGGAACTAATGGAGAGGTCCTCCCTAACAAGGCTTCAAAGGCGGAAATTCCAGAAACATATGGGGTACATCTAGCTCTTAACAGTGCAAAGGGAAGAAGGCTCACCCAATTATCACCAGTTTCCAAGGACAATTTAGCTAAAGTATCCTTGATAGTCCAGTTCATGCGCTCTACTTGCCCTGAACTTTGTGGCCGGTAGGCACAGTGGAGTTTGTAATTAATCTTTAATGCTTGGGCTAACTTTGAGGTGACTTGGGTTATGAAAGCCGGGCCATTATTGGACCCCATTAATAGTGGCAGGCCAAATCAAGGTATGATCTCATGAAATAGCTTTTTAACTACTCCTAAGGCTGACTTGGACTTAGTAGGGAAAGCCTCTACCCAGCCAGTGAAGGTGTCTACTAATACCAAGAGATAGTGGTGCCCCTGTAAACCAGGCTTTACCATGTCTGTGAAGTCTACTTCCCAATGTTCTCCTGGAACACTTCCTTGATGTCAGGTGGTCTCCAGTGTAGAGCTCTTGGCTGAGTTGACTAACAAGCACTGTGGGCATCTGGAGCTCAAAGAGGCAGTCAGTTTGCAGAGTTTTGGAATAAAAAACCAAGTTCTGAACAATTCTGCAAGTTTAGTTCCACCTAAATGGGTAGTTTGGTGAGCCCAGTGTATCAGCTCCCAGCTTTGTGCCTCCAGTAACAGTACTTGTTTATCAGGTAACTGGTACCAGCCCCCTGGGGTGGGGGACTTCTCTTCAAGTTGAGATGCTAACTGTAGGTCTTTCTTTGTGTAGACTGGTTCTGACAAGGTCAGAGGGACTAACATCAGAGCAGTTACTTCCTTGGCAGGCTCCTCTGATGTGGTTGCTATTTTTCGAGAGGCTTGATCTGCCAAACTGTTTCCTAAGGTGACAGGGTCATCTCCTGTCTAGTGAGCCTTGCAATGAATAATAGCAACTCATTGAGGTAGCCAGACAGCTGCCAACAAGTCTAGAATCTGTGGAGGATTTTTAATCTTAGTCCCAGCTGAGGTTAAGAGACCTTGCTCCTGATAGATGGCTCCATGTACATGCACAGTAGCAAAAGCATATCTACTGTAAGTATACATGTTTACCCTCTTTCCCATGGCTAGTTTTAGCGCCTCAGTTAAAGCAATGAGCTCCGCCTTTTGGGCAGAGGTGCCAGGCTCTAACCGCTTAACCCAGAGTACCTCGTTTTCGGTGGTCACTGCTGCCCCAGCCACTCGTTTGTTGTTCTGGATGAAGCTGCTTCCATCAGTGAAATAGTTGTCAGCATTTCCCAAAGCCTGGTCGGTAAGATCAGCCCGTAGGTTCTGCTGCAGTTCGAGGATGTCAGCACACTCATGGAGAGGTATCCTTTGTTCCTCTGGGTCATCATCAGCATAAGGGTGGCTGGGTTTAAAGCTGAAGAAGTCTTGAAAACTACCGACTCTGGGTCTAGAAGCAGGGCCTGATAGTGTGAAATTCTAGTGCTCGAAAGCCATTATTCTGGAGGGGTTTTGATAAGAGTCTCTAAACTGTGGGAGATCACCACAGAAATCTTCTGTCCATAAGTAAGTTTTTTTAGCCTCTTTAAGTAACATTGCCACAGCAGCTAGCATTCTCAGGCAGGGGAGCCATCCTCCTGTCACCAGATCAAGTCTTTTGGAGAGGTAGGTTATAGGCCTCTTCCAAGAGCCAATGTCCTGGGTTAGGACTCCTTTGGCAATGCCCCTGAGTTTATCTATGAACAAGGTGAACAGCTTGGTAACATCAGGATGTCCCAGAGCCAAGGCCTCTGTCAAGGCCCACTTGAGTTGCTGGAAGGCCCATTCACAATCATCAGTCCAGTTCAGTGAGTTTCTCCCTTAAGGGAGTCATATAGGGGGTGAGCTGTTTCAGTAAAATTTAGAATCCATAGCCTACAGTGTCCAATGCCACCAGAAACTCCCGTACTTTTTTTTTTTTTTTTTTAGTTTCTCTCTCATAGAGCAATTTTAACACCTTGGTTATCTTCTTGTTGGTAGCTTCCTGTAAATTCTCTCTGTTTTCAGAGACCTTTTGTGCTATCCCTATTAACTACCTGAGGGGCATTTTCTCAAATCTCTCAAACCTTTGCAATTTTTGTCTAACATGTGGGGCTGACTGAGTTGCAAAGAGAACAACTGGCGATACTGGGGGGAACCTCCTTACCTCTGGTTGTTCAATCAGGTTGGGACAAAAGGAGAACATGGTTTTGGCATTCCAGATCAGAGAGCAGGCTTCATCTGGATGGCACACCGCTTTTTGTCCCAGGGTGTCATGTGGCAGGCCATCATTTTACTGAAATTACATGCTTAACAAAAAAAAAACACTTTTTCATAGGTAACAAAATTGTGCTGCATAATCTCCCAGATGTTCACAGCACATGCAAGAACTTGTATCTTATCTCTATAATCACCTATAATCTCATTTTAATGGAAACATTTTGCAGCAAAGGTTTACCAATCTTATGAATCAACCAAAACTGATCTAATACTGTCAAATTCTGAACAAATTTACTTCTTGTCAAACCTGTTATTTGCAGTACTATAAACCAAGACAAATAAAATTCACATCCTCTCGAGCTTTCTACAACTTACAATATACCCCCAAGTTGAGCTTTTATCTTCTTCCACATTCTGGCACAGCCAGACATTTTTCCTTGAAGATAAAACCACTTTCTTTGTCCTTCTTTTTCTTACTATTATCAGTCAATTACCTTTCCTCTTGCTTCTCAGACAACATTAAAACTCTCAACAAAACCCTTGAAGTCACCTTTTAGTAGTCTAAAACATATTTAATTATTTTATGTCTTTTTACCACATTAAAATCTACTAGCAGGTAATTTCTTACTGTTATGGTTTTTTGTTTTGTTTTGTTTTGTTTTGTTTTGTAGTTCTGTATTGCGTGTACCCTTACGCCGCTTTGGTTTGTTTTGTGTTTTTCTCTTTTTCCTCTTAAATAAAAAAAAAAAATGCTATTATTTTTCACAAGTAAAAAAAAAAAAAATGCTGTAAAAAACTGTAACCTTTTAACTGGCTCAAATATAGTATGACCTGGTTTTTACTTGGTAAAGTTGATATGATTCTTTAAAACCATAAATATACATATATATGTGTGCATATGTTTACATTTTAATGAGAAAGAAAAATACTCTTTTTAAAAAGGCATGCCAAGGTTGCAAGTAATCAATTGAGGACTAAAACATTAAACAAGGCACCACAACATAAAAGACACAAACAAAGACTGCTTCATGCACAATTTGGTGAGCTAAAGGAAATAATTTTTTTACTATGAACCTTGAGTCTAATAAGCCATATGGATCCTGCAACAGAAATGGGTAGCGAGCCCCTAAGTTAGGTAACAAATTCAAACAGGCAGACAATTCTAAAGTACAAAAACACTGAACATAAATATCTAAATCCCTTTGTCCATTTTGGGCTCATAGAAGGGGTTCCTAGGAGAGAATGTTCAGTTAGATTTGGGGTAACCAAAAGGAGAACAATTAGAAAAAATGGACACACAGACAGACATACAAGACAAGACAAGCTGCAGCAAAAATGGCCTTTGCTAAAAATTGGTGAAATTTTGGGATCTGGAGGAATTAACAAATTAACCAACAGAGTGGTTCCCCATCCGGGGCAGAGTCACAAATGGACAAAGTTAGTCCCCAAAACTATACAAATGGACAAGATTTGTCCCAAAAAACCAATTGACTCTGTCCTCAGGAGGTCCCCGCTTCCCAAATTGAGGGCGTCCCCTCCCGAAGAGTACAAACTGGCCACAGCCCAAACAAACCCTCCAGAGTACTTACTTTCAAATGTTCAGAAATGAGTCTGGGGTCTTGCTCCCATCCCAGACGAGCCCCCAAATGTGATAGCTCGGACCCCGGAATAAAACCCAAGGAAGCAAGAAATTAAAATTTGGGGAGCAATGGCTTTATTTTAGGCCAGGCCTTGGAGACACAATCCCCGGGAGCCAATTTGGAGACTGCACGCCTTACAGCTAGAAAGGTTGGGTTTTAAAGCCAAAAACTACAGGAATGTTGCGAACTTTGACCCTGTTAGATAGCATCTGGGCCTTACAGAACTTCCTGTAATTTTCTTGAAGTTAAGCATTTCTTAAAGAACAGCACATTTTATTACAGATAGGCAGGTGAGGGGGTTACAGGAAACTGATATCTAAGGCTTTTATGGCCTTTCAGGAAATTTAAACTTAACCTAGAAAGATAGGAAGGGGGGGGGGGCTGAGTGGTGCTTACAGAACAGAAATGAGGTGTAATGGTTAAAACTAGGTTATAATAGGACAAAAAGGAAAACCAGTAGGTGTACAAGCTCAACAGAAGAGTTTATTTCAGAACAAACCCAACAGGGACCACCCTGGCACTAGAGGCCAGACTGGCTGGCCCTCTGCAGGCTATAAGTTCTTTACAGGGTCATGAGCATAAAAGCAGGGAGGAGCTGTAGAAGGGGAAAGTCACAATGGGCCTTGTAGGGGAAGGATGAAGTTCAGTATAAACAAGCTGTGGCTATCCACCTGGGACAGGTTTGAGACTGTCCAAGAGGTTGTATGTTGTTTGTGAAGAGCATGGCTGAACAATGATTGGGAATTATGGAGGTAGCTGTGCTTACCCCCATAAGCTGCCTTATCAACTCACGAGGATATATCTGCAGCAGGTGTAAAAGCACAGCAGGGGAAAGGGATTTAAAGTGGTCTTTGTTCAGACCAGCATGGTAGTAGTCTAGTCCTTCAACTTTGAGACCAGGAAATACTTTCTTGGGGGGTAACATCATTTACCAGCAAGAAAGGAGGAGAAATCTTGTTCTATAAGGACTCCAAACTTTTCATCTGTCTCTTTCTCTGTCTCTCTCTTTTGATCTGTCTCTCTTTCTCTCCCTTCCACTTTCCCTTTCCATCTGGAGATTTCAGTCTCTGCTCATCCTATCCAAAAGCTCACCAATAACATGAATGAAAAAGGAAGGACACCCAACTTTTCTCCAAGAAGCTCTGTTTTTCCCAGGCTCATCTACTGTTTCTGCCCACCCCAGCCCTTTAGACTCATACCCAAAATGAGTTTCTCCTTCCTCAAGCCTTCACACTCTCTATTAAAAGTCTCTATTTCCTGATGAACATGATGTGCACACCTACAATTCCAGCTATTTGGGAAGAAGCCAGGAGGACTGAAAGTTCAAGGCCAGCCTTGGAATCATGATGAGAACATGGTGTGGGGGGGAGAACTCTTTTTTCCAATCATAGAAATCAAATCCCAGATGGACTCCACTAGGAACTCAAAATTGCCAAGTTCTAGTTACCACTTAGAAATGCCTCAAGGAGTCAAGAATCTATGAAGACATTTCCCCTGTAAGAATTGTTAACACCTCTTGGTTTTGATCTGCAATTTTCTTAACATAAATACCAAATTCATCCTGCTGGTTAGCTTTGTCTAGGAATCCTAACTACATGTTTAGCCATTCTTTCATTCAATAGGAAGTTTTGTAGACAGAACTACCATAAGAACTGTGCTAGTTAGGCATTGTATAAAATGAAATTCCAATTTTCATAAAATCAATCCACACATCCAACTTGATGACTATCATCAGGGTAAGTCCCCATTGTAATACAAGAATTATTACACAAAAGATAACCTGAGCCCCTCAAAAGGTTGGCAGAAGACCAACATTAGAATGCAGGGGGCAGCTATTAATTCTCCCAAGATTTCCAACCTTAGGGAAAGAACTGAGGAATCTCTGTGAAAAGAGGATCCAGCACAGCACTGTGTTAGGAGAGGTACTGAATTAGGGTTGTGGGAAAGTTGGAGAGGAATTTTAGAGGAGGGGAGTTTGAAACCCTCCTGTTATCTGTCTCAACATGGTGAAAAAGTCACCACAAGCAAGGGTCAGAAAATAGATCCAGCCTGAGTCTAATGTGGTGGCACATGCCAGCACACTGGGAGGTTGAGACAGGAAGATCAGAAGTTTGAGTCCCTCTAGAACAATTTAATAAGACACTATCTCAAAACAAAAATAAAAAATGGTTGGGGACATAACTTAGTGCAAAGGCCCTAGGTTTAATCCTTGGGGATGGAGGTGGAAGACGGAAAGAGTGAAAGGGAAGGAAGCAGAGAAAAGGTAGGGAGAAAAGGAGGAGGGAAGGGGAGGGGAGAGAAATACTACAGGGGAGGGTGAAGAGAGGAGAAAAGAAAGGAAAGGGAAAGAAAGAGAAGGGAGGAGAAGGGAGGACAGGGAGGGGAGAGGAATAGACAGGACAGAAGAGGAGAGAATAGAACAGAAAACAGACCTGGTCTGGTCTTGAGGGTCTCATCACATCAGAGCCTCTGCTATGAAGAGAAAGACTGCTGCAAGAGGCAAGAGAACCAACTAAAACAGCAAGCAGGCAAACGGGCCATGAGGATGTGTTATAAGGCATAAAACCAGGATTCCATCTGGGCAGAAATTTCCCCTTTCCACACAAAGTAGGAAAAAAAGATAGTCTACAATTCCAATAGTGTTCGTTCATTCTCCATAGACTTCTCTTTGCTTTACTGTCTCTAGTCACCGACCCCAGCCATTCCCAGTCTTCCTGGTGTTCCCTCATCCCAGCTACAGATGGTGACTCTCCACACTCATTCCCATAGTGAATATACTAGTTTGCATTCTGACCAACAGTATAGAAGAGTCCCTTTTGACCCATAACTTCACCAGGACTTTTTACTATTTGGTTTCTTGATAATAGCCATTCTTGCTACAGTAAGATAGAATTTCAGTTAGAATATTTGCATTTCTCTAACAATCACTGATTTTGAACTTTTTATATGTTTCTTTTTAAAATTTGAACACAAAAAATAAAAACAATGATACAGAGTTTCAAAACAAAATAATAGGAGATTAACAATGGTTAATATATTGGGTATTGTTATCTTCAAATATTTGCTTGGATTATAAGATATAGGCCTGAAAATTTATATATTTCTTGACCATTTATGTATTTCTTATTTTGTAAAGTGTCTATTCATTTCAGTTGCCCACTTTTTCACTGGGTCATTTGTTTTGGTGGGGGGATCTAATTTATTTTTAGTTCTTTATGTATTCTAATTATTAGTCCTCTGAGGAATATCATGCAAAAATTTTTCCAAATTTCATAGATTGTCTCTGTACAGAAGCTTTTTTATTTTTATATGGTCCCATTGTTGATTTTTTGTGTTATTTCTTGAGCAATTGGGGTTCTATTCAGAATGTGTTTGCCTATGCCTGTGTTTTCAAGAATTTTACCTATGTTATCTTCCAGCAGGTTAAGTGCTTTTGTTTTAACATTTTGATATTAGTTTAGTGCATTGTGAGAGATATGGTTCTAGATTGATTGATGTTCTGTCCTCACATTGGTCACTTGTGCAGCTGACACAAACAATATAATTTTTAATCTCCTTGGTTTTTGTTTGAAATCTTTTCATGGACTCTTTAATTCTTTGCTAAAATAGTCCTTAGTGTTTTGTATCATTTTATTTAGCTCATCTAGTGTTATGGATTAAACACTGGTCACCAGCTGAATTAAATCAGCATGGTGCTGCATGTAGATGGCCCACCTGAGGAAAGTTGCCAGCTTAAAAGGATATATAGAGAGGAAAAATGGGGCATTGTGGGTTCTCCTAAGTGTCATTGTTTGGAGCCATTTTTTCTCCTTGAGGAGCTTGTCATGGCTAGCTTCCCTGATATGAATTCAGCCATTATCATCAGAGGAGCTCAATACCTTGTCATTGAGAGGGGATCTCTGCTCTTTTTACTGAATATTGCTTTCTGGCTCCAGAGGGGGAGATGTGTGCAATTTAATCTCCAGGAGAAGCTTATCATGCTGGCTTCCTGATACACACTCAACTCTTCTCTTTGTCAGAGGAGCTTGGGGTCTCGTTGCTGAACACGGCTGTAATACTCTTCATGGCAGCCCTGATCCTTATTTCAAAGTGTCATTTCTTGGCTTCAGTGTAAAACCTTCAACCTACTAGCACAGACCCTGGACCCTGCTAGCATAGACTTTCTAGCTTCCACCACTGATCTTTGGCCCTTCCCAGCACAGATCCATTAAAACAAACTTGCATGAGTCCTTGTCATAGGTTCTAAACCTCCAGTTGAACTTGTGGGAGGTACTGTCATGGCCTCTAGATTTTCAATTGGACTCACGCAGGTCATTGCTGTGGGATCCAGGCCCTCAACTGGATTTTGTAGGTCTTTAGTGTTGTGGATAGATTTCCTGCACTCTTTTGTATCTAACTCTGGATGACCATCATAAAATACTATAAGTTCTGTGTCTTGTATGTAATTGTTCTCCTTGCAATCCCGGACAACAATAAAAATTGGTACCAAGAAAGTGAGGTCACTGCTGTTATATTGCCTGGCCATGTGGCTTAAGAGCTTTGGGAATTAACTTGGAAAGATTTTGAAAGACTGGACAAATGACAGCCCCTGTATGCTGTAAACTATATTGAAGACGATGGTCAGAGCCTGGAAAATCAGAGTACAGATGGAAATGATGCCAGTTAAGATGAAGTTCAGGAGGCTTTATGTTAGGTGTATCCTGTATTCCACAGGGCCCTATATTTCCTCACAGTGTGGTAATGTCTGTGCTGAGACATATGCTTGCTCTCTTTTGTGAATAGGTAAAGCAGTCATACCTTAGATCTGTGCTGGATATAGGCAGCAGGGTCTCAAACTCACAGCAATTCTCCTGCATCAGCCTCCTGAGTGCTGGCATTATAGGCATGGACCACCACCCCTGACCCTCATTCACCACATTCTTAAATTTACATCTAATTTTTCAGTTTTTGGGTCCTGATTGGTGTCTCACATACCACTGTTTATCATCTCAAATTCTGCCTCTTCCGTGTTCTTGTGAATTTTTGCCATTAAGCCACACATTCCTACAGCTGATAGTGCCCTCCCTCCATGAGAGTACTGCTATTTATGTCAAGGGTGCTTTCATCTTAGATTCTTAATGTTGTCTGGCCTCAAAATATCAATATATCATCTCATTACTTAGAGTCTTCCATGTACCAAAGCAAGATGTTTCTTACATCCAGAAGTAAGAAGAAAGCTCCCCCTCTCTTAATCAGTATACTTTATCTCCTGTGCATTGACCCAGAGCTGCTTGTGCCTTGGTGTTGACAACATTTTAAATCAGGTTTTTAATCCAAGAAAAATATATGCAAAAGAATATGGTATTATTCTGTGAAAAGTCCCTTTCCTTTGCTTTTTCTTCTTTGTTTCTTGAATTTCCATAACTATGTCTTTTATGTGTGATAAATTTTCAACAATTTTATTTTGTTTTACTTTTAATATCCAATTAAAGCATATCCATTATAAATTCACTTTGGGAGGCTGAGGCAGGAGAATCACAAGCTCAAGTCTACTCATTTAGGGAGACTATCTCAAAATTAAAAACAAAAACTAAAGAAATACATGGAGTTGCAGTTCAGTGTGAAGGTCCTGCGTTCAATTCCCAATACTAAAAACAATCAGATCTTTACCTTCTGCCTAAAGGATAGCTGTTCACTTGCTGCCTACAGACATATTTACACACGTAAGTCAGTTTGAGGGTAGTGAACTCTTATCTAGGACTGAGGTCAAGTCAACTTTTTGTGGCCTGAAGGTACCCTTATACACATTTACTCTTCCTGACTTATTCATTAGTATATCATATAAGCCTAAATCCCAGCTCAAGTGAAGGCTACCATCCCAGGTCCACAAGGCAAACTAGGTCCTTTCCAGTGTCAGTCCCTCTCATGGATTCCTATCTGCTCTTCTGTTACTTTTACCTCATGACATACTCCCACACACACAAGTCTCTGTGTGATAACTACAGTGAATTACTGATAGTCCCTCAATGTGCCTCACTTTCATATCTCCTTAATTTTACCCAGGCTGGTCTCTCTTCCTGGAATGTTTTTTCACCAATTTCTAGTTGAAGATTTCTTCTTCATTCTTTATGACTCAGCTGTAATGCTTATCCACCTGTAAAATCTCCCTCAAGTTTCTTGGTCATAACAAATTAGTAGTACCTTTTACATAATTTCTTTACCAAAATATATGTGATTTTCTCACCTAAACATATTAGGCAATCTTGGTAGAATTGAATTGGCAATTCAAATACATTTGCTTGATAGTAAAAGCTATGTCCTAGACAGTAGAAAGGAGAGTGTAGCTTTAAAAAAAAGTGCCTATGATGTGAATGACTGAATAGATAAAGGAGGACTAATGTGGAAAATGAGACAGCATGCAGAAGGTAAATAGCGGTGTCACATCTAAAGGTATATGAATGTAGCAAGTGTTGCTCCACTTCTGGGTATGACAAATTATCATCAAAGGAGTTCTGTTGAAATTCTTTTATTAATGAAAGCAGTTTGATGAGACTGATGATGCATTCAAGGGCAGGAGGCAGAGTTCCTGAAATCAGACCTTAACCTAGCCTGAGCAGTGGGCCAAAGGCCTTTATATTCTAGTTACATTTGGGAAGGGATGTTTTATACCATCATGTACTAGCAATGTTCTAAGGAAGGAAATCTCTGCTCTCAGGTGTCTTAGAAGTTTGAGGATTTTAGGGTAGATGTTAAGGTATATGTTATGTGTATAACATTATGTTAAAAAAATTGACCTCGGTATATTAAGTGAATAAATAATAGAATACAGTTTCAGCTTTAAATTGAGCAGCTATTAAGAAAAAATATATGCAAAAGAATATGGTATTGTTCTGTGAATAGTCCCTTTCCTTTGCTTTTTCTTCTTTGTTGCTTGAATTTCCATAACTATGTCTTTTATGTGTGATAAATTTTCAACAATTTTGTTTTACTTTTAATATCCAAATAAAGCATATTCACTATAAAATAGAAACTTCAAAAGAGAATCAAGTGGTGGGTGGATGCACTCTGAGAACTGGAATCCAAATCATGGAAAATAACAACTTGGGGAAGAACAAAAGAGAAGTAGATTAATGGAAATCAGGAAGAAACTAACAGGAAAATTAAAAGCTACAGAGTATTTTGAGAAATATACCATAATGCAGATAAGGAAATGAAAACAGTCTGGATTCTCTCCCTGGCTCATAGCTCCCAGCTCATAGGGAAGGGAGTCTGGCTTTGCAGAAGTAAAGTGAACACTGGGGCTCCAAAAAGAAACAGAAGCAGATGACTTGGCTAGCAATATGGCCTCCAGGGGGAGTTTACAGTAGTAGTTGTGATCTGCAAGGACAGTACAGGGGTTTATTCTGAGGGGAGGGACTCCCACTGCATGACAGGCAATAAATTAGATAGGAGTCCCAGCGTAGGTGCCAACCACACTGCTGAAGAGTGCTTGTTTGGGCATCATTCTCTTAAGGATTGATTAAATTTGGGAATCAGAACAACAGGGGATGGCTTCACTTCAGGGGTCCCAGAATGACCTTCTCAAGGCACAACAATGAATAAGGAGTGGACTGCAAAAAGACCCCTTGAGAGGATTGAGCTTAGACTAGAAAGGACACAAATCCCATGTTCTATGGTGGAAGGCAAGGCCCAGGTTGAGTTGCACTGAGTCTGAAAGTCCTGGCATTGAGAACTTAGGCCCTCTTCCGGGAGAACATGGCGAACAGATAGCAGCAGCTATGGAGGCTCTCTGAAACACCCAGCTTAGAATTCAGGAATGGTGCTGAGTAAGGAATCATAAGTAAGAGGAGATATACCCCGGTGACCCAAGAATGAACTGGGCTGAGAGAAACCAACTGGGAATGCAATCCTGGTGCTATAACAGGAACAGATAAAGCCTCAGTGTGGAAGCTGGAGCCCGCGCCATTGGAAGCAACGATTTGGGTTTCCCGCCACTGCCACTGCTTCTGCATCTGCTCGGCAGGGAGAGAGACGCGCGGAAGCTCTGAGAACAGGAATCGGTGAACGGAGTTGAGAGCAGGACGGGCGGAGAGCCGTGCATCCATGTCCGGTGAGTGAGGGAAAACTGGGACACTTCCATGGTCTAGGAGAATCCAACAGAGGACATTCTGGGACTGGGCAGACTTGCGGGAACAGGGCGCTGCAGTGACTTCAGTCACGTATCCCCCTCTCAAGCAGGATTGGTGAGCAGTGCCACGCCCACGTGATGCTGCTAGCTGAGACCCAGTAGGCTAGCACAGCCCAGGTCCCAGCTCCTGAAGGTAGACTGACCTGGAGGGGTGGGCCCTGAATAGGCTGCCTGGTCTACAACTTCCTGGTGCGCTGCGGTGGGTGGGAACACCTAGCCAGCGCAATTCAATCGGACTGTGGCTGACAGGGAAGGAAGCTGCTCCTCCTATATACGCTTGCATATATAAGGAACAAAGAATATGGGAACAGGCAGCAAGAAGCAAGGGTCCTCGGCCCCCAATCCTGAGAAAGAGACAACAGCAGACACAGCACCAATAGATATAAAGCGCTATCTCAAGAGCCTCCTAGACAAGTTCAGGAATGAAGTTATTAATGACCTGAAGCTAGACATAAGCAGAATAGTTAGAGAAATGCTAAGTACCACCCAAGAAAAAACAGATGGTAGAATGGAAGAACAGAAAAAGAGGGGAGAATTGTTTAATGGAGAAAATAGAGAAAGCATAGAATACATGAAGCAGGTTCAAAGAGACTACCAGGAAACTAAAAAGTCTATCGAAAACTGGCATAACAGCTTGAAAGAAACTAAGAACAGATTATCTGAACTGGAGGGCAGATTTGTAATATGGGAGCATGAAATGAAAAACTTCTTAAAAATAACAAAGAAACAAACAGCAATAATACAAAGATTAGAAGATGATAAGCGGGTCTATAACTTAAGAATTAAGAACATAAAAGAAGAAGTAGGGACACAAAAAAATGAACTACAAAAGCTACTCACAGAAATAATCCAGGATAATTTTCATAATTTAGCAAAAGGTAAAGATACTCAGTTGTATGAAGCATACAGGACCCTAGCCACCTACAACCCAAACAGAGCAACACCCAGGCATATAATAATTAAAATTCCAGAAATCCAATACAAGAACAGAATACTAAAAGCCGTCAGAGACAAGAAACAGATCACTTACAAGAGAAAACCCATCAGAATTACAGCAGATTCTCGGCACAAACCATCAAATCATGAAGAGCGTGGGGGGAAATAATTCAAGCTTTGAAAGATAATAATCTCCAGCCAAGATTGATATATCCTGCACAACTATCCCTGGAAATTTATGGAAAAACAAGGTGCTTCCAGAATAAAGAGGAACTAGGGGAATATGCAACCAACAATTCAACTCTACAGAGAATACTGCAAGATATTCTAAAAAAGAAAAGTATGAAAAATTCAGAAGTAGCGGCAGAGAGGCCATAATTAATGGAGCAGAAAACAAAATGAAGAAGACAAACTGACAACTAATGACAGAAAAAGAGCTCAACAGAAATGAGGCAGAGAAGATTGGATGATAGGAACAGCTATTTTGGAGAAAATGACGTCTTAAGAGGTAATACTAATTTAGTATCATCTTGTTTTGAAGTCTCATCAAACTTTTGTTTTTCTGTCTCCATTGGTCTAAACAGGTGGTATCTTATTGGATTTTATTATACATGATACTATAAGCAAAACCTTTTATAGACAAGGAGATTATACAGAAACCATTGTTCATTTTCTGTTAGTTGATTCTAAATACCCTGTAATACTGTCATTCTCTTAAATGGTTTTACATTGTTTTGATATATTTGATGCTACAGTATATGAAGTTATACTCAAAGATTTCAAGGAAAGAGACAATATGGAAACTACTTTTATGTCGGGATAATCTTGTGGTGAAACACTATTTTGCTTAAATGGTTATGTTTTGATCTGTGCTGATTTGCTGTTATGCCCTCTTTTATCTCAATCTCCATTTTATTATTTACTTTTATCCTTTTAAGGGAAAAATAAATAAAAAATAGCAGGATATATTATAGTAACCCACTTTGACTTTCCATTATCTTGATTTAAAGCCCTGTATTGCTCTCACCATCTTGTTTTGACTGATGTTCCTCTATTCTGTTTTGCTTCTGGTTCGAAAGTTTAGGCAACAGCTGTGAAGATAGTGGGATTCATTATGACACCCATTCTAGTTGACTATTATCTACTTTTGAAGACCTATAATGTCTCCAATGTTTTGGTTTTGTTGGTTTTGTTCTTTACTGTTTTGTTCAAATTTTATTATAACTAATGATATAGGCAATTCTATTAGAGATAGCAGGAGGCATTATGGTAACCATTGTTGATCACCTAGTATTATGCTTTTACATTATCTATTACATCCACCCTTTTGATTTGACTGACTGTTCTCTTATGTCACATTTGGTTCTACTCTTTTCCAAAAAAGTAATAAGAACTGTGGGAGCAACAAAACCCAAAATGTGTAATTGTCATTGTACAAAAGAGAGGAAAAGAAACTGCTCTAAATGATATAACTGCATGTATATTTATGTGTATAAGATAGATAATGATATTACTGAGTTTTGTTGGATCATTGAACATAACTGTTTGCAGTCTCACTGTTGGAATGTCCACTTTATAAGCTTTAATTTTGTAACTTGAACAATTATTTCTAAGATGACAAAATGTAATCCATTAATTAGTGATTTCCTGTTTATTTTTTCTGTAAATCTGTATAACTTGTACCCTTTCTCTGTTTTTTTTTTCTTTTTCTCCTTAAATAACATTTAAAAAAAGAGAGAACTTGGCCCTTGTCATACTATTGCCTGTATCCATCATGGATCTGGGGCTTACTTACCTTCCTTATCTACCCAAAAGAGCAGGATACATCTCAGCTTGGACATTGTCACAACCTAGGGTACACAGATGAGACTGTAGAATGGGGAGGGGGACTATAAAAACCACAAGATGTAAGGCTGAATAGATTCCGGATTCAACACTGCAGACCAAAGAAGAAAACTATTACAGACAGTTAAATTATGTAGAAATATTTTGGATCTCACAAAGCAAAAAAGAAATTATGTAGAAATATGATAGTTAGACAGGGCTGAGCCCTCGAGGGAGTCAGTGCAAAAGATGAAAATCAGTACCGTGGCTGGTGGTGCACATGAAGTTTAAAATCACAATGGTTAGTTCTGCATACTTCCCTAAGGGATGAACAGAGGCTTGGGATCATTGATATCACCCTTTTGAGATTTCTGATGATCTCATTATTGACAGGCCATCCTCCTCCATCTACTAACACTAAGACTAAAAGCACTAAGACTAAGAACACTAAGACTAAGACTAAAGAAAAGACTAAAAACTACAGATTATTGATCAAGGTTAAAGATATCCCTAGCTCCCATTACGTCAATATTACCTAACTGACTATACATGCAATCTTACTGATTTATCATAATTTTTGATCCACATTGTACCTACCACATGATTTTGCTCTATAAAGCTTCAAGAGTTGCGCTTGTTGGTACATCATTCAGGACTCCTCCTGTCTCTCAGGAACCTTCTCTATTCATCATTGCATTTCTCCAATAAATTTTCCTCTTCTTAACCTGTCATTCCTTGGAATTCATTTTTTGACTTTGGGGACATAAAATCAGTGTATTTGACATCTGGTATTTCCCCTATATCAAACCACTAACTCAAAAATATAGAGAATTTTTTCTGCTTTTGAGTTTCTATAATACCCTGGAGTTCATGACTCAAAAATACATGTATTTCTCACAGTTCTGGAAAATGGAAGTCCAAGATTGGATGCCAGTATGAGTTCTAGAGAGAAGCCTTTTCTCATTTACAAATACCAATCTTCTGGATGTATTCCTATGTAGGAAAAGGAGCTATTTATTTGTCCAGTTTCTTATCAGAGCACTGATCCCACTAATAAGAGCTCTATCTTCATGACTTAATTACCTACCAAAGCCCCATCTCCAAATACCAGTTTGTTGGGGTTAGGATTCCAATGTATGAACATACATTTAGTTCACTGCAATAACCAAATCCCAAGTCCAAATGATAGTTTGACAGCTCCCTTCTATCAAGTTCCCATATTTTTTTTTCCTACTCTTCATCCTGAGATTAGTCCAAGTTTTCACAATTTTTCCCCCAATACCAGGAATTGAACCCAGGGCCTTCAGCTGCACTATATTCCAAGTCCTCTATTTTTTTTTTCTTTTTGTGAGACAGCATTTTCACTAAATCACTGTTTCCCATACTGGGCTCAAAATTGCACTACTTGTACTTCGGCCTCCCAGAGCACTCAGATTATAGGCATGTGCCACAACACCCAATTTTTTTACTCTATTTGTCATTCTGTGTTTTGCAATCCTTCTCTTCTCATCCTTTCTATTTTAGGCTTCTATAAACAGATCAAATCCTCCTTATAATCTCCTTCTCCACCCTTGGTCTCCATAAGAAAAACACACCTCTGAAAAGCTTTCTCCCTTTCACCTCAATTTGTTAACTTTGTACAAATTTGTTAACTCGATTCCTCCAAAACCAACCTAGTCCCTTCTGTCCTTTGTCACTCATCTGATACCCTTACATTTACCAAGGATTTAAACTAGTTTTGCACCACTTGAAAAGTTGGATGTGATAGATTATTTGCAAAAGAATACTATAAAATTTAACCCTGTTCTTAAATGAATATACTTTTCCATGTGATTCAGCTCTTCTTCCCATCCATACAGTAAATGGAAAGGGATGGGAGTTGTGTGCCCTGAAGTGTAAACCTGAATCTCATGCATACTGCACAAATGGCCAATCATGGAGTAGGCTCCCCAGATCCAAATAGATGGAGTTTATTTTCTCATCCCTTGAATTGGGAACTAGTCCTGATTTTTGTTTGTTTTTGTTTTCTGGCTTTTCGTTTGTTTTATTTTTTTCATGGTTTGTTTGTTTCTTCCTTTCTTTTTTATTGAGACAGGGATTCTCTACATTGTTCAGGCTAAATTTGAACTGTTGAACTCATTATGTAGCCTAACTGGCCTCAGGTTCATAGTAATCTTCCTGCCCCAGCCTCCTGCATACTAGGAATACAGGCATGCGCCACCACACGTTGCTTGGAACTAAACTTGTGAGTTGCCTTAACCAACAGAACACAACAAAAATCATGCCACACCCATTCCAAGCTAGGCCTCAAGAGACCTGGAAACTTATTTTCTAATCCACGTGTGACACTAAAGCTGACACATGAGGAATCCTAGGAAAATGTCTTTGAGGACAAAATCCAAAGGGAACAACAGGTCCAGTTGATAGTGCTAACTACTAGACATTCAAGTGTAACTGTATTGCAATTATCAAGCCCTAATTACCTACCACATGACTGAAGTTATCTGCATGGCCCCACACAAGAACAGTAAAAGAATCACCCAGAACACTAAGCCCAAGTTGCTGATGCATCAAACAGTAAGCAAATAAAATGGTTGTCTTGGTTACTTTTTCTTTCTCATTGTTGAAACAAAACACCTGATGCTCAAAATTAAAAGGAAAAGGTTTATTTAACTCATAGTTTGTGGAAGTTTCAGTCCATAATCTGGTGGTTCCAAGCCAGGTTCATGGCAGAGGGCAACAGTTCATGGTGTGGAAGACAGCAAAAGTAACAAGAGCAAAAAGGAAGTAGTACACAGAGAAGAGTCTTTATGTCCCTTATATTGTATATAGGCCACCCACTATAGTGTGGGTATAGCATGCACACTCAGAACCCAGCATTGGATCATGAATAAATCACAAATTCTACAAATCCCACCTGCATGACTGCTGGAGGCTTTGGGGAGACATCTAAACACAAACTATAACATTCCACCCCGGGCCTCACAAAACTCTTGCACATCCTTTATGCAAAAGACATTTAGTCCATCTCTAAGAGTTGCCAAAATCTTAACAGTTTCAACATTGCTGAATAATCCAATTCCCAAGTCTCCTCCAAGACCTAAGGCAATTCTTATCTGTGAGACCCTGTACAAATGAAAAGTTAAACACTTTCAACATTCAATGACACAAGATAAATATTACCATTCCAAAAGTTAAAAACATGGCAATACAAAGGAATGAGACAAAAGCAAGTCCAACATACAGCAGGGAAAATATTAAGTGCTGTAGTTCCATGTGGAACATCCAAAGAAATCTGTGGTAAGTTGTGAGCTCCAAAGAATTTGTGTCATTGCACCCCTACAGCACACCCAGTGATTGTTGCTCCCATGGATTCTCTTTTGAGTCCCCCTTGCTCCTTCCTGGCAGGTTTTCTCACATGATCTATGTTCCTGGCACTTTTGGCTTCACACTCACAGCTTCACACAGTGCCCTCTTGGGCACACTGGCTGACCTCCCATCCCTTTTGAAATCTGAGATTTTTAAACCTGAGAACTCTTGCATTCTGTATGTGCATTAAACCAGTGCCACATGGATGATGCCAAGGTCTGCTGCCAGCAGTAGTCTGGATTTTTTTTCTCTCTTGGCTGTAGGAATCAAGTGCCTGAATTTCTGGGTATTCTGAATCCAATTCCAAGGATCAAATTTTCTAGGTTGCCACCATTCTGGAGCCTGGTGTGGCCACCACTGCCATTCTGAAATGTAGTGTCTGTGGCCTAATGAGTCAAGTATGATAGAAGCATGACTCATATGGCACTTTGGTGATTAACTGGTTACTCAGGCAAAGCCCAATCTATACTATGAAATGTCAACTGCTTCAGAGATGAAAAGAGTTGTGTCTAGAGGAAGTTCTTGTTGAAGCGTTTTGTTTCTGCTGGGTTTAAGCCTTTAAGCAGATCCTCCTGAGATAGTATATCAAGACTTCTCTCAAAGCACCATTATGGAAATTAACAAATAAATCACTGAAAAGTAAAATTAAACTAAGATCCCTAGGAAAAGAAAATCAATACTCTAGAACATGACTCCATAGCTCAATTAGACTGCCATAATTCTTAAAATTATAGCTTTTAAACCACTTCAGATTGTCTATCAATGTAGTATTGTGTTGCTGAAAAATTAGGGAGGCATGTTCTCTGCCTACAAGATCCTGTTCGTAAACCAGATGTTTCTGGAACTACTTTTTGCTAAAAAGATTTAGTCCCCCTTCCAGTTCAATAAGAAACAAGAATTATAATAGTTAAAACATACTTTTGTTCTGGGGCTATGGCCCAGTGGCACATCACCTGAGTGGCAGGCATGAGGTTCCTGGTTAAAAAAAAAGAAAAGAAACATTCTCAAACCTAACATATTCCAGATAAATGGGTAAGCAATAACAATACTATATTTTAAAATTAAAAGTTGAAGATTTAAGGATAAGCAAGTTTATGAATGTTGAATGTCTTTCTAAAGTTAAATATATATATATAGGCCAAGTGTGGTGTCACATAGCTGTATACCTGTAGTCCCAGCACTCAGGAGGCTGAGGCAGAAGAACTGTCATGAGTTTGAAGCCAACTGGGATTACACAGTGATTTCAGTGCCAACCTGAATTACATAGTGAGACTCTGTGTCCAAAAACAGAGTTAAATATGCATTAAAATTTATTTTGTTTTTCAGGTCCTGAGGATAGAATCCAGGACCTTACAAATGCTAGGCAGGCAGTCTACCACTGAGTTTGAGTCCCAGCATCTTTCTGAAGTTAAGAAGATACACTCTTGATTGATTTTTTTTGAGAGTTCAGGAGGTTTTTTGTTTACTTGTTTTTGTTTTTATTTTAGTTTTTCTCAGCACTGTGGATGTAGTAGGAAACTAGAATGTGACAGTCTGGCTGGAGCAGTTAGGCATGACCTTCTCATTGAGAAAGAATATTATCCATGGCTGCAGAAAGCAGTGCCCAAACCTAAAGCAGGATCAAGCCAAGTCCTGAGGTCAGCACCAATCTTCTGATTATGAGAACATGCTGAACCTGGCACCTGATCTCAGTCTTCTATGAAGTGATCAAAAGGGACCACCTGGAACAACTATCAAAGGAGATGTAAAAGAATTGCATCAACAGACTTTGTCACACCCTCTTGTTCTTACAGTGACTCATAATGCTTATAAGACATATCTTCTCTTATTCTTTTCTCCCTGAGTACTTTTGTATGCCCCCTTTTTTCTTTCTGTCTTTTTTCCATTTTTGCCCCAAAATAAATGGTTACCTTTAACATCTACCAACTGACCTTACTAATTTATTGATCTGGACAAATAAGAAGCTATAAAACACTGCTGGTCCATACCCCTGTACTGTAATAGGGATTGGACCCAGGAGTACTATACCACAAAGCTACATCACCAGCTCTTTTTTCATTTTCTTTCTAAAATTTCAGACAGGGTTTTGCTAAGTTTTGTCCAAACTGGGTTCAAAGTTGGCAATCATCCTCTCTCAGCCATCTAGAATTCTAGGATTATGGAAGGTGCGCCATCTTGCCTAGCAAGAGCCTAGAATTTACGTAAAATATATTCCTATTGATGTAATTTTTACAAATTTTTACTTTTTTTTTTTTTGTTTGGGTGTTTGGTTGAGACACAATTTCACTCTGTAATTCAGCCTAGTTTTGAACTCACTTTATAGCCCAGGATGGCCTCAAACTTCCAGTGATTCTCTTATCTTAGCCACCTGAGTGTTGTGAATATAGGTGTGTGCCACCATGACCAGTTTCTAATTTTTTTTTATATCTTTGGTACTGTAGATTGGACTCAGACCTTTTGCAATGAAGTGCATCACCAACTCTTTACTTTTATTTTTTTTATTTTGAGAAAGGATCCTACTAAATTGCCCAGGCTGGGTTCAAACTTTCATCTTCCTGCTAAGCAGTCTCCTAGAATGCTGGGATTACAGGTGTGCACCACCACAGCCAGTTTAGAGACCATTGTTTTAGTCTAAGATTTTGTGTTAGGCTCCAATAGATCAGACCAAAAATCAAAATGGAATCACTCACATCAAGAAAGGGTCCTCAGTCCCCAATCCTGAGAACACTGATCCAGGAAAGGGAAATGCAAAGGAAGACAGAAAACATGCAATATCAGACATGGCACCAATAGACATAAAGGGATATCTCTAGAGCCTCATAGATGAGTTTAAAAATGAAGTATTTAATGAAATAAAGCAAGATATAAGTAGAATAGTTAGAGAAATGCTAAGCACTGCCCAAGAATGTTCAGGAATGAAGTTATTAATGACCTGAAGCTAGACATAAGCAGAATAGTTAGAGAAATGCTAAGCACCACCCAAGAAAAAACAGATGGTGGAATGGAAGAACAGAAATAAAGGGGAGAATTGTTTGATGGAGAAAATAGAGAAAACATAGAATACGTGAAGCAGGTTCAAAGAGATTACCAGGAAACTAAAAACTATCAAAAGCTGGCATAACAGCTTGAAAGAAACTAAGGACAGATTATCTGAATTGGAGGGCGGACTTGTAATATGGGAACATGAAATGAAAAACTTCTTTAAAATAACAAGAAAACAAACAGCAATAATACAAAGGCTAGAAGATGATAAGAGGATCTATAACCTAAGAATTAAGAACATAAAAGAAGAAGTAGGGACACAAACAAATGGACTACAAAAGCTATTCACAGAAATAATCCAAGAGAATTTCCCTAAATTAGAAAAAGGTAAAGATACTCAGATGTATGAGGCATACAGGACCCCAGCCACCTACAACCCAAACAGAGCTACACCTAGGCATATAATAATCAAAATTCCAGAAATCCAATATAAGAAGAAAATACTAAAAGCTGTCAGAGACAAGAAACAGATCACTTACAAGGGAACACCCATCAGAATTACAGTAGACTTCTTGGCACAAACCATCAAATCATGAAGAGCGTGGGGGGAAATAATTCAATCTTTGAAAGATAACAACCTCCAGCCAAGATTGATATATCCTGCACAACTGTCCCTAGAAATTGATGGAAAAACAAGGTGCTTCCAGGATAAAGAGGAACTAGGGGAATTTGCAACCACCAATTCAACTCTACAGAGAATACTGCAGGATATTCTAAAAAACGAAAATACCAAGACTTTAGAAACAATGGCAGAGAGGCCACAATGAATGGAGCAGAAAGCAAAATGAAGAAGACAGACTGTCAACTAATGACAGAAAAAGAGCTCAACAGAAATGAGGCAGAGAAGATTGGATGGTAGGAATAGCTATTTTGGAGAAAACAAGACATCATAATAGCTAGTGCTGATTTAGTCTCACCTTGCTTTGAAGTCTCATCAAGCTTTTATTCTTCTGTCTCCATCGGTCTTAACAGGTTGTATCTTATTGGATTTTATTATATGCGATAATATAAGCAAAAACTTTTATAGACAAGGAGATTATACAGAAACCATTGTTCATTTTCTGATAGTTGGTTCTAAATACCCTGTAATACTATCATTCTCTTGAGTAGTTTTACATTGTCTTGATATGTTTGGTGCTACAGTATACGAAGTTATACTCAAAGATTTCAAGGAAAGAGACATTATGGTAACTACTTTTATGTCAGGATGTCTTGTGGTGAAACACTATTTTGCTTAAATGGTTATGCTTTGACCTGCGCTGTTTTGTTGTTATGCCCCCTTTTATCTCAGTCTCTTTTTTTTTATTATTTACTTTTCTTATTTTTCTTTTTAATTAAGGGAAAAATAAAAAAATAGCAGGATACATTATAGAAACCCACTTTGATTTCCTATTAACTTGATTTGAAACCCTGTATAGCCCTCACCATCTTGCTTTGACTGATTTTCCTCTATTAAGCTTTGCTTGATAGTACCAAGTTCGAAAGTATAGGCAACAACTGTAAAGACAATAAGATTCATTATGATGCCCATTCAGGTTGACTTCTTTTAAGGCCCTGTAATGTCTCCAATGTTTTGGTTTTATTCTTTACTGTTTTGTTCAATTTTATTATAATGATTATATAGGCAATTCATTTAAGTTAGCAAGAGGCAATATGGTAACCATTGTTGCTCACCTAGTATTTTGTTTTTACATTATCTATTATGTTCATCCTTCTGATTTGACTGACTCTGTTCTGTTATGTCACATGTGGTTTTACTCTCTTCAAAAAAAGTAATAAGAACTGTGGGAGTAATAAAACCCAAAATGTGTAATTGTCATTCTACAAAAGAAAGGAAAAGAAAGTGCTCTAAAGAATATAACCGCATATATATTTAAGTGTATAAGATAGATAACCATATTACTGAGTTTTGCTGGATCATTGAACAAAACTGTTTCCAATCTCACTGTTTGAAAGTTCACTTTGTATGCTTTAATTTTGTAACCTGAACAACTATTTCTAGAATAGCAGTATGTAATCTATTAGCTGGTGATTTCCTATTGTTTAGTTTTTCTGAAATTCTGTATAACTTTCTGTACCCTATTTCTGTTTTTTTTTCTTTTTCTCCATAATAAAAAAAAACCAAAAAGAAATCTAAACTGGTGTTATTTTTCCAACATTCCCCTTGTCATCACCTTACAAGAGAAGTAATTTTAAAATAACTCAATTAGTTCTTTGTTTCTGCTGCTTCACTGTATATAAAATCCCCCTCTAGGGACCAGAGATTTAGCTCAGTGGCTTAAGCACTTGCTTGGCAAACACAAGGTCATGAGTTCAATCCCCAGCACCAAAAAAAAAAAAAAATCAACCTCTTAGCCAGGAGTGGTAACACACTCTAGTAATCCGGTACTCTAAGAGGCTGAGGCCAAAGGATATCAAATTCAAGCCCAGCATGGGCAACTTAGGCACTTTAAGTGAGACCCTGTCTCAAAATAAAAAATAAAGTAGTGGAGATATACCCCACTGTGAAGGCTCTGGGTTTGATTGAGGAGATTAGTGTATGGCAACGCCATCTGGGGAAGTAGGCATGATCTGTTAATTACAAGATCCTGGAAAAGGTACACAGAACAGTTCCCAAAGCCTTGCACATGGACTCCTCACAAGAACTCAAGCAGGTTTCCAATAGGATGCCTGGACCTGACCTCACTCTGACATGTGGGATCCTAGCATTGCCTCTCAGAAGAAGTTCTCACAGGTTGAAGAAGCTTTCACAGGTTTCCTCTAGATTTGGACAGCATAAAAGGATACAGATGCAAAGAAGAGCTTGATTTGGCTTTCCTCATGATAACCTGCCCTGTTTTCTCCAGAGTGTTCTTTTTTTGTTTTTGTGGTGGTTTATTTGGTACCAGGGGCTCGAACTCATGACGGCGCTTGCAAGGCAGGCACTTATGCCA